GGATCTCTGCAGCAGAGATACCCAGGTTCGTACCCCAGTGGCCTCATTGCCTTGCCCCACTCGGAGTCGGGAAACGAGGTACCAGGTCTTTTTTCGGAGTATTCTTATGTGCAGTGAGATTCAAAAACAAAGAACAAACTCCGTGGCCTGTAGTCCGCAAGCGAACTATACCGACCGACCGACCGACCGAGCGACCGCCGCTTGTCGGCGTAAGACCCCGTCTGTGGTCTCGTGGTCAGAGTTCCTGGCTACAGATCCAGAGGTTCCGGGTTTGATTCCCGACGCTACCAGATTTTTTGAGAAGTTGTGGGTCTGGAACGGGGTCCAATCAGCCTCGTGAGGACAACTGAGGTGCTATTTCAAGGGAATAGCGGCTCCGGTCTAGAAAACCGAAATTAACGGCCGTGGGGATCCGTTGCGCCGACCACGCGACACTCTCTATCCACTAAAGTTGACACTAATTTCGCCGACAAGCGGCGGTCGCTCGGTCGGTGTAGTTCGCTTGCGGACTACAGGCCACGGAGTTTGTTTTTGTTTGTGTGTCCCATGACTTTCGAAGCAGGCGCTTCTTTAAGCCAGTCCTTGCTGCTCTCAGCTTGAAACATGGTAGTCAGTGTGTATCTGTGTGTCCCGCATGATTCTCACAGTGAACAGCGACTGTTTCCCTAAACAGCACTAATCGGTTGGGCCTCGTAGCGGAGACAATATGTTTCCTGTGAGGTACGGACTGAATTCTTATATATACTGCATTCTGCCCACAGAGTGTATCTGTGTGTTCCATATGGTTCTCACAATAAACAGCGACTGGTTCCCTAAACAGCATTAACCAGTTGGGCTTTGTAGCGGAGACGTAATGTGTTTCCTGTGAGGTACGGACTGAATATTTACAAGGATATCAGGCTTTGAAGTGTTAATTTAGAACATCATAATCCCGCGGCCCCTGTCTCTAGCCACTGTTTCTAACCATTGTAACGTCTTCACTTTCGCACTGTCTTTTTCAGAAGGACGAGCAGGTGAAATATGGGAATCGCCCCCCACCCCCCACCAAAATAAGGAGCCTCTGACTTATACCATGACTTTCCTTTTCTACCCGTTCTTCCACTATTCTTTCTCACGTACCTCTCTTTCCAGGCTTCAGAGCTGAACAACCAGATTGGCGCTAACGAAGTTTTTAAGCCACTTCCGCCCCAGATTGGCGTGTCCTGTCGCCCGGGTTGCGTGATCTTCGCCTTACGTAACAGGCCAGGTCAATAGAGCTGCTTGCTCCGTCTCAGATATCGACTTCTTAGGCACAGTGTAGGAGTCCCACCGGCCCGACGTCATTCTCTCTGCAGATGACGATTTCTGTCTTCTGGGATGTTACCCATCTTCAGAGTATCCACCCTGCGAAATATCACCTGACTGACACTACTTATATCTCACACACTAAGCAGGCTAGCATAGCAGTAACGTTCTAGATTCTTTTTCAGAAGGTCCCCAGTTGGTATCTCGCTCGGGGTTTCCACTATGCTGACGGAGGGTTTTCGACGGTCTCCTTGGTCCCTGAAAGCAAATACCCTTGTCCTATATCGTTTAGACCACGGACGCTTCCTTCCAAATCCTTTCCAATTCAGAAACACCCCATAATTCGACACCCATTTCCAACATACGTAGCTGTAGCCGCCCGCGTCCGTCTTCCATGTCGAGCACAAATAAGTACCCGCTTTGCATTTCTGTTATTTTCAGTTGAGAAATCATGGAGGTGTACCTATTGAGAAACTCCAACTCGCAGTCCATTTAAAATTCATGAAATTTTCTGGTGGTCCGCCAAACAAAACCAACGCAGTGAGAGTTCCGTGGTCCAGAAAAGTTTGGGAACCCCCGGTGCAGATACTGAGTGCGTCACGAAGTGACTTACAGAAGAGTTGCGTCGAATTGAAAGGTGATGGGCTGGGAAGCATTTGGACTAACGCAGCCTTGGCCTAATTTGACCGACGAATAATTGGAGGTACTGAAGACAGACACGAAAACTTCAGTCAGGAGCAGGTCTACCGTATATGGAAGAGAATGGTGACGGCTGGAGCCGGACTCCGAGTTCACGTGATCGGTTAGAGGCCGCTCGATCTCTCAGATACCAACCAAAGACGGTGCGGACACTACATGGGCTAGAGGACTTGGTCGTTGGTGCCATGAATACACGCCAAGAGCCGTACAGCGCTAGAATCTGAACAAAGTTGTTTCAGCCAATTTTGAAGAAAATCATAGTTTTTTCTTTTGGGGGTCGTGTGAAGGGCCCCCATAAGTTAGACCTAAGGTTTTCCAATTCATCTGACAGCGGCCGTGAATACCGAACGTGAATAAAATCCGTTCTACCGTTCGGGCCGCCAGCGAAACACACATAAATACAGACAGATAGACAGATGACATTCCAAAAACCGCGTATGCGTAGTTAGGGGAGATGAAATCATGTAAATCCGTCAGAATCTCGAGACAGATATTTTTCCACGATCACAGCATTTCCCCATACTGGTTACATGGGAAGGTAAAAATGTCTGCGTAATTCTGGAACCTGCAACCAAGCAGAACGTGTTCCTGTCACGACCGTTTCTTCATAACCCGTTAAAGCCTGCCAATTAACATGTGAGAGGCCTGCCGGGACGGGACAGCCTCTCAAGGCCTGCTTCCCCGAAGCTGCACCTTAGACATGTTTTTTTTGGTGCCGATGAAAAAAGCAGAGGCGGTGGTGGCAGCAGGAGCAGATCTGGGGCCAGTTTTTACTCGTGGCCGGGCTCACAGCCCCCACCCCACCCCACCCAACCCCCCGCGCCTACAGCGCTGTTCTAAGATGCCAAGACTCAGTGGGTCGTGACCCAAACATGACCCGCACACTGGATTCGTCCGTAGCACAAAAAGAAAGCAATAAGCAAAGAAGTTGAGGTCTGTTGTCAGGTCCATTCAGAATAAGTTAGGAGATACGAGAGGTGAGGTGGAAGAGAATGGAAAATTTATGAAAAAGCAGAAGGAAATACAGGAGAACAATCTTAGAGACTGGTCTCGGCACTGTATTGCCCAGAAAGCAGTCGGTGCAGTTTTTCCTTGCGATTGGCTCTGAAGGGATTGAAGCACACCGCTGAGAATCAGAAGACATCCGGGTTCGAAGCAAGGGTCTCTGTACGCTGTTCCCTCGGCTCTGTCTGCGTCCCCATGCGGACAAAACACAGGAGCAGTCAATCAATAAGTACAGCCGAGTGGGCCCATGGGTCAGCAGGTCAGGGATTGGGCGTCGATCAATATGTCGGGCCGTCTTCCACTCCCTCCTCTTCACAATACTCCTCTCGGTATGAAGGTAGTGTCAGGGAACGGCATTAACTTCTGGCCTGTCTCAACGAGGTTGTGTAAACTGTAAAAGAGAACTATTCGGCTCCGGTCTGGAAATCCGAGGTTAACGGCCGTGGGGATTCATTGCGTTGACACCCTCTATCCGCTAAAGTTGGCACTAACTTCGCCGACAAGCGGCGGTCGCTCGGTCGGTGTAGTTCGCTTGCGGACCACAGGCTACGGAGCTTTTTTTATCGTTTGTCTGAAATGTCACTCAGTGCAAGTCGTAGGTTAACTAAACGGCTTCACAGAAGAAGTGTTCTGCGTGTTGAACGTGACACGACGTTGAGAATTTGGTAAGCATCGGATTTGGGGACTTAGCCATCTGAGGCACTAACTGATGGCGAGCACTTAGCGACGTCAGGCGTAGTGGCCAATACTGCGCTTTATCAATTGGAGAGGGCAATTGCTGTCGTATGACCTCGCAGAATTGAGGGCAGTGCCGTAGCTCTTGTTACGCACCGCGGACGCCTGGATTCGATCCCGGAGTCAGGTCATGTCGGATTTGTAGTAAATAAAGTGGAAGTGGGGCAGGTTTTCTCGGAGCACTTCAGTTTCCCCTGCCAATTCTCATTCCACCGACTTCTTCATGCTCATCAATCATCCTGTCCTCGACGCCATGTAGTCTCGATATTACCGGCGTCGTTAAGTAACAGTCATCTAATTCCATTGAGTTGAAGTCTCTTTGGGAAGCTAAGAGTTGCTCAACCATTCAAAATATCCGCAGCGATTTATGAAACCTGGAAGTTCATTACCATGTTCACAAAACCCGGCCACTGGTCAGTATCCTAAGCCAGATGAATCCAGTCCATTTTCTTCCATCCCCTTTCTGTTAGCTCTATTTTAACACTGTCCTCCCGTTTATGTCTAGAGCTTTCTAATGGTCTCTTTCCTTCAGGTTTTCCTCCAGAACTCTCAGTGCACGCCTGTCCTCTCCCATGCGCATGCGCAGCTAAGCACACACACAAATTCACTGCTCAGTGAATTAGAATGGACAGGAAGTGACCACGGCCTGTACCAAGGTACCCATAATGCACCTGGAGCGGCTGAGGAAAATCGGTAAATATTTCAGTGAGAAAGAAGGTACTCCAGCTGACAGGTCACCCTGGACTCTCCCTATTACAGGATCTGTGTAGGTCTTACGTAGCGGTTATGAACCTGTGGCACACGTACCCTGCGTATCTCTCGAACATAAGTGTCTAGCGTTAAGCTACAACAATCTACTCTATAGTGATGATGATTTTGATGATAGTAGTAATAATAACAGTAGTGAAAATAATAAAGTACGCCAAAAAACGTCAGAGGTGGACAAGACTTGTGTTCTAGAATTTTCCCCCGTCTTGCTGGGTTTCGAAACGCAACGGTTCGGGAACTGGGTCCGCCCCCATCAGCAGATACCCACAAGGGACCGTAGGTTCATATTGAACTGGGCCCGTTAGAAACCTAGCTCCAGTAATGGATGCTAGCTCGGTCTAACGGACCCAACAGAGTCGGAATGTCTCACTGCACCTGACGATGGAAACATATCCAGTTTCCGAAACACTGAAGCCGATGGACAGTGCCCAGTTACTGCATGAGACGGCCCCAGATCCATGGGTCCCCTTCCAGTAGCTATAAAGCCTTAAACATGTCTCGTGTTGCAGCGCTTTTCCAGACGCCACTGCTGTCGGCCCTGCCCGGAAGTGGGTCCATCGGGTTTCCGCCGAGTGTTCGTCCCATCAACCTGTCTCCGCAGCCCCTCCCAGTTATGGCCCCTATGGGGCCCAGCCCTCCCAACAACAACCTCAGCAGCCCCAGTGGGACTAGCAAAGAAGGGCCAGCCTTGCTCTGTACTGCGTCACCAGGACAAGGGCAGGTAAGAGGGACACAGGCGCCGGACATGCGGGAGTTGGGAATTCCCCGGTCAAGACTCGGTGCATTGCTTTGGGTGAATGACTGAGAGGATCTGTGGATGCGGGTGTATCAGTACGGTTATAATTGGCATGCAAGAAAGCAGAGCAGAACTTAAACACTAAAGCATGAAAGAAGCATTTTCGTCGAGCCATAGCTCGGGCAGTCAGTCGCCGGCTTCCCACCGTGGCGGCCCGGGTTCGATCCCAGTTCAGGTCATGTGGGATTTGTGGTGGATAAAGTGGCACTGAGGCAGGGATTCCCCTGCCAGTTCTCATTCCACCGACTGCTCCACACTCCTCATAATCTAACATCCGAAGTTCGTACAACAGGCCAGTAGTGGCCGACGTGCCAAGTGGACTCAGTCTCACCCCCACCCCAAGAAACTACAAAATAAAGGAGACTTTTCCTGGGACATCGCGCCGTGTAACCTGGTATAAATGTACGGTAGTTTGGGAGGGCCGTAATGCCTTCAGCTTCAGTCTCTAAGAGTAAACCAAGCAAGGAGCATGAGGACAGCGATAGTGACAGACTGCAAGGCAGACCGTCCTATGTTGCAGGGCGCACTGTTGGTGTCAGGGGCAGAGTACAGCAACCACGGCGCCATGTCAGGGCCCACGCCGAGCCCTGGGCGGGGCCCTAGCACTAGCACGAGTCCCGGACCTTGTTGTCCCGGGTCTCCCCTGCAGCTCACCCCCGTCCTGGTGGAGGCACAGATCCTGAGGCTAGCAGAGGCTGCGGACCACTTGGTACGGAATCTGCCCCAGTTCGAACCGAAGCCACACAACAGCAAGAAGAAGATATGCAAGGACCTGGAGGTAAGGACCTGCCGAGTTGTGTTCAGTCGTCGCCCTAAACTGGCAGCTTTCGGATTCAGGGCAAAAGTATATTATTTATAAATATTGTTGCGTAGATCCGTGGAAGCCCACAGAGTGGGGATTAGGCCAAGCATCTTCTCCCCCCCCCCCCGAGATTTAAGAACTCAAGATATGAAATATAAGGACATGTATCCAATATTAATACCAAATACCTTTTCACAAAAAGGAAATTCTGTTGTAAACACAGAGGTCAGTAAAAATATTGTTCCAAATATCAAGAAGTCCTGGGAAGAACTAATTGCCTACTTTCGTATGACTGCGTGCTGTTTAAAAGGCACGCGGTAGCATAGTTGGTTGAGGCACTATGCTACAAGCCGGAAATTCGCGGTTCGAGTTCCGATGAGGTGAATTTTTTCAGTTGACCTAATCCTTCCAGCTGCGCTATGGTCCTGGGGTCTACTCAGCCTCTAACAGAAATGAGTGCCAAGGATCTTCCTGGGGGTAGAGTGCGGCCGGTCGGAGCGTGAGGCTGACAACCTCACCGCCATCTGCGAGCCGATTGTCCAGAAAATGTTGGAGCCTCGACGTCTCGCAAACCTACGGCCCTCCACGGCCTGTTACAGGGATAGCTTTACCTTTTTAACCTTTTTACAGAATTTCATGTCTGAAGCAGAACTGCTGGCACATTGTTGCTAAGTCGGAAGGCATATTCTTGTTCGCTAGGTCACTGTATTGTTCTTTACCACTTGTAGGAAGAGCCGGGATGGCTCAGTCGGTGTAGCGACGGGCTCCAAACTGAACGGCTAGGTAACCGTTAGATTCCCGGCAGGAACTAGAGACTTTTCATTTCTTCACAGCGTCCAAACCGCCTCTGGGATCCATCCGGCCTCCTATGCTGTGGGTACCTGGGTTTTTTCCCATGGGGGTAAAGCGGCCGGATCGTGAAGCTGACCACTCACCTACTTCTAGCTCCCAGATCAAGATTACGTGGAAGTCTACCTCCACTCCCCCATACGTCTTCATGGCGTGGTGCTTAATTAAGCATAGGGACAAACTTACGTCACCTGAACACGTATAAGAACGTCTTAAGAATGTGTACACCTTCTGTAAACTTTCACTCGCAAAGAAATGTCGTAATGCTGTGTGGATGCCATGTGACGTGACCTCCTGCGGCATGACCTACATACTGACTTTCGTCTTGCAGATCGTCATGAACATGGCCGAGGATGACCCGCGACGGATGGATGAAATACGCAAGTACGCCGCCATCTACGGACGTTTCGACTGCAAACGCAAACCTGAGAAGCCCCTCACATTGCATGAAGTGAGTAGAAGTGAATCTCATGTTTTCTGTGTGGATCTTGCAGTTCTGTTGCTGATAGCTATCTGACGCCGTTGCAAGGCTGATGACCCTTCTGAACAAGAACTAGACTCAGCGTCCCTGCGCTTCATCAAGCAAAAAGAAAAAAAATGAAGATGTTTAGGGGAGTGGATCTATAGCTCCATGCATTCTTACCTGTGGCACTGTACGCATGTGAGTGGTCAGCTTCATGCCCCGGCCTCCCTATCTCCATACCCGATTGGACGAGAGTCTGACTGGTGTGGACGGTGTTAGAAGAGAGAAATTTCTTGACCCTTTCCTAGACTCAGGGACACGCGGTAGCGTGCTGCAAGTCGGAAAGTCGCGGGTTCGAGTCCCGATGTCACTGTGTTTTTCGATTGACCTAATCGTTCCAGCCGCACTATAGTCCTGGTGTCGACTCAGCCTCAAACAGAAATGAGTAACAGGAATCTTCCTGGGTCGGTAAAGGGCGGCCGGAGCGTAATGCTGACAACTTTACCGCCATCGGTGAGCCGATTATCTAGAAAATGTGGGAGCCTCGACGTCTCACAAACCTATGGGCCTCCATGGCCTGTTACTGGGATAGCTTTACTGAACCTCGCCGCCATCTGTGAGCCAGTTGTCTAGAAAAACGTGGGAGCCTCGACGTCTCACAAACCTCTGGGCCTCCATGGCCTGTTACTGGGATAGCTTTACTGAACCTCTCCGCCATCTGTGAGCCGATTGTCTAGAAAATGTATGAGCCTGGACGTCTCACAACCCTATGGGCCTCCATGGCCTGTTACTGGGATAGCTTTCCTAGACGCAAACCGTGATTCCTCAGCCGCCCAAACCGTAACCAGGAGATCGGATTTCGTTTCGCTGCAGGAGCAGAGCGTCTGTATGTACCCTTGGGGCCCACCCAGTCTCCTGTCCATTGGGCACTGCTGTTTAAATAGGGCTGGACATGAAACTGACCACTCATCTCTTGTGCCGAGGTTAAGAATGCGCCCAGCTATACCTGTATCTTCCCATACGTCTTCAGCAGTGTTGCTGTGTATTGTGTGAGCAACTTAGCAACAGCGCATTTGTATCTGAAATAAACGAGCATCAGTGCGGCCGGCGTATATAGGACAGAGCAGAAGGCGTGACATTTCAGAGGATCAATCGGAAAATAGCCCGGAAGTGTTCCTTTTCTTGAACCGCGACAGTCGAGGGCCATTTGCCTGTTTCCTGACGCCCCAAGCAATTCGCCGAGAGCTTCTCCCTTTTGAGATAATTATGCAGATGAGGGGTGAAGCCAGGAGTGCCCCTCTCCACGGAAATTTAGAAATAAATCAAGATTGAGAAGAAAGGAGGGACTACACCAAATATTTTTTAAATATTCTTCCTTCTTTTTATTGCTAGTGTGGTGGGACTAAGTCCCTTGTACTGCGGCCATTTCCGGTCTATTGTACCAGCCCCAGATGATAGGTGAGGGTGATTGTGGAACAATTGGTGGAATGAAGATTTACAGGGGAAACCGAAGTACTCGGAGAAGACCTGACCCAGCGACACTTTGTCCACCACAAATCCCACTTGACCAGACCCCGGGATCGAACCCGGGCCGCCGCGGTGGGAAGCCAGAGACTAACCGCTTGAGCTATGGAGCGGCCTAAATATTCTTCCTTCCTGACTACTGAACCGCGATCAGTAAAAATAACCTATAGTAGCGTAAACGTTAAGTTCGTAAGCAAATACCATGACTGACCTCCCTCTCTTGCAAAACTGACTACCCCCTCTCCTTTGTAAGAGACCCTGGTGACGCCCAGGGTGGAGGCTCGTATCAGCAAGCACATCCCTGGCAGCCTGTCGCAACATGGACAGATGTGACGTCTGTTTTCGGCGAATGAGGGAACTGGGGATGGAACCGAATATCGTGGTTGATGAGCGGCACTCTGTTGCGTACTTGGGAAGTCCCAGATTCGTTTCTCTGTTCGGGGATTCCTCCTTGTTCATGATTTTCTGTGGATAATCCAGACGGCAGAGTTCTGCTTTCTTTGCCTTCTTGGCATACTCTTCGGTCTTAATGATGGAGGCAGTTTGTTAATTCCGAAACCTCGATAAACTTCTGCCAGACTGTATGGTGTCACATCCCAGAAGGTACCACGTTTCGAAATCATTATTCTCGTGACACGATATGATCAAACTACTTGAAACTAACTTGGTAAAGGTAAGATAAGGTAAACTATCCCTGTAAGAGGCAGTGGAGGCCCAATGGGTTGTGAGACGTCGAGGCTCCCACATGGCGGTGAGGTAATTCTTTCTCTTTGTAAGTGCCGCAGAATATCGGGAGGTTCAGTTCAGAGTCGCCTTGGAACACCGAATTGTACGGTTACTGGTCTCTAACGAGCCAGAGACGGTGTAGACCAGGGGCACGAGCCCCTTTCCGACAACCTGCGCTCTGTGTACCGGATGTGGCCCGCGGAGGGATTTGCGTTGTGGAGGCGGGCGGGACTTGCGTGAGGTGGGGGCAGCAGACCTCACGATCAGGCTTCAGGGGGGCGCTGTGCGCCCCATAATTACGTAAATGAGGCGGCCGTGACACACCAGTGGCTGCAACAAAGCAGAAAACTGGAAACTGCTAATGGCGACAGCAGGTGGGTCTGTCCTCACAGGCGTTCTTTGCTGTAACATCACGTCTATCAAATGCCTCAGAGGCGGTTCATCGTACGCTAAAGTGCGCACACGTGAGGCGCAAACATCCTTCGGCGCATCAGTTCAACCATGGAAACATCTATCTATCTATCTATCTATCTATCTATCTATCTATCTATCTGTCTGTCTGTCTGTCTATCTATCTATCTGTCTACCAATGTCTGTCTATCGATTTATCTGTCTCTCTATATCTACTTATTTGTCTGTCTATCTGTCTCACATCACGACAACTTCATCAGTTGAATCAGCGTGATACACAATACAGCTGGAACCACAGGCACTTCAGAGTATGCCCATTGCATATGTAATTACCAGTATTTACGGTTACATTGCCTGCAATATGTATGTATGATCTGGACTGCAGCAGTATTCAACCAGGGCCCAAGGTTGTTTTTTGTTAAACAAATCTATCGTTAAAAAGTCTGCCTGTCTGTCTGTGTCTGTGTAAGGTGTGTATGGCTTCCTGTCTCTCGGACACTCGGATAGCAATTGCCGCGCGCTCTCGGAGAACCGCGTTCTGTACAGGCGACTTTCAGAGCTCATCACCCCTTCCCCTCCTGCCTCCAAAAGAATATGCACAGATCTGATGCTCCATCGTCTCGCATGCTGAAGGAACTCGACGTTTCGGAAATTGAATCTGTTTCCGTTCTCAGGAGAAAGAATGGGGAGGCACCTCATTACTTGGATCCGTTAGAAGAAGTTGATCTCACTGCACCCTTTCGGCCGAATACGTGAAACAGATGCACTTTGCGGATTTTCATGTGCCTTCAGAACAGACACGAATCATAAAGATCTAATTGGCTTGCCCTTTTTTCATGAAGAAGTGGAAAACATTTTAATCGGAAAATTTGTTAACCACTACACGGAGTCACATACTCCAGGATTATTCGTGTTCACGGTTGTGAGAACCTCAGCCTCGTAGTTTTCTCTTATTCTTTTCGTGAGCGTCGCTTCGCTTCTTATTTCAGTTGCGAGACGCCGATCGGAGCGCGCGAGTGTGCGCGTGTGCAGCAGACGAGAGGTGCATCGCGAGACGCACAAGAACGAGACAAAGAAAACTTCAGACGTCCAAATATGGCCTGAATGCATTTCTCGTTGAGCAGAAAATAATAATAATAAAAAAGAAGTATTAAATAGAATCTTTAATTTTTCGTTTGCTGGACACACCTGCAGTCCTCCAAGCTAAATCCTGTCCTGGAATCTTTTTTTGTGAGAGTAAAAACACACGTAGACAGACAATGGCGGCCAGCGCACTCACGCACTGAGAATCTTGAACAAGCCGCACGCAACAGCGGCATATATCCACTAATTCTTTGCCCAACTTCTGAGGGTAGGGACAGAGGGTAGTCGTGAATAATATATGGACGTACGAAGGAGAACGCATGGGGAGCCTGGAGGAGCTTCAAAATTTGACATTTGTAATTGTATTTACGTGCTGTTCGGTTCATATTACAAAATGTTGAAGGGAAGGACGAGCAGTGAATAACGAATTGAAAAGGATGTGAAAGGAAGCGGTCGTGGCCTGATCGAGGTACTATCTAGGCATCCTTCTGGAGGGACTGAGGAAACCCGTGAGGAATCTAAGTAATAATAACAGCCCAAGTTGAAACTCGAACTGAGCTTGTGCTTTTTATGGATTGGAGAACTCAGTTGTCATTGTAGGGAGTTCTGAAGGCTCCCAGAGCCATCAGGCGGTAACGTATGGTCATGATTCCCTTGGGACTCAAAACCAAGGATTACTGTGCTGGCGAGGGTCAATAGCAATTTAGCAGCCATTGAGCTGCATGAGAGAGAGAGAGTCTAAAGGCGCCCAGATCCGTCAGACAGTAACATATGGTCATGAGTCCCTTGAGACTCGAAATCAAGGATCACTATGCTGGCGAGGACCAGCAGCAATTTAGCATTCAGTTGCCATCAAATCAGTTCCTTACAGAAACGAAATAATCGCAAATAAACAGCGCAGCATCGCTCCACAGAGGCTGAGTATGTCTCGACCTTGTTCTGCCTTGCTCTTCTGACGAGGAGGTGGGCCCCGGCACGTGACATGGGGCCCTCTGGAGCCATAGAGCCTGCAGCCGGTATATGACACAGCTATGCAGGTAGATTGGCAAGGAGCTTTCCCATAACGACAGCAGTGCCGCCGGCTGCCGGCAACAGTGGCCTAAGTAGCTTCTGATCTCGCAAGACCAGAAGCCTCCTCGGTCCTGACATTATGAAGAGGATATCTTTGCACCTGCCATATATGGAACCCTGATTTACCAGTCGTCCGTTCTGTACCCTGTTCACTGTAATGAACATTTCTGTGTCCTGGGTACCATGCCGTGCACTCCGGTAGAAACGGACCAAAGTTTCGGTGGAACTTTCTGTCTCCGTCTTCAAGGTAGAAGATCACAGGTATTGTAGTGACCGAATTTTAAATATTTCGGTTCTGAGAGTTGAGGGGTTCTTTAAAAATAAATGTAATCTAAACCCGTTGAATATACGGAAGGACAGAGGACACAACCTCCCCATTATGCGAATATTTTAGCTGTTTCTTGCAAAGAGGAGTCCCTTCTTGTACGTATAACACTTTTGCACCCCAACCGCGCTCTGTGCATATGTTCCATGATTCGCTAATGAATGAATGTCAGTGGACAGAACCCGACGCCACCATATATAGAGCGCACAGTGCAGCTACTGCAAAAACAGCGATAAAAACACGCTGGTAGAGTACTAGTGGGCCGCGACCCCACAGTATTCTCAAAATCTGCGTGTGATTTGAGGTTCTCACACCGATGACGCCGTATATTCCGGTGAAATATTTCTGCGGAACATGTCTCCTTCTTGTTCAAGGTAGAACAAGCAAAAAGCAAGAAGAAAGGCTAAGGAAACAACGGCGAAGTTTTACCAGACTGCACTGAAGAAAGTATACTTCTTGATTGGTGCTGGCTACTTCTAAGAAAATTAGCTTTTACAGGCGAAAAATGATTCGTGGACGCAGAAATTCAGAGGGGCTATACGCTTCAGGTTTTTGCAGCGAAACATAACCGTCTCGTGTAATTCATCAGACCGGTCCTTGAAGATGGAGACGAGGCAGCCTTCGAAACGGTTTTTCTCCGCATTGACTCTGGTGATCACATGAGAAGGTTCCATTCTGTGAGTTTTGAGATTATTATGGCGGTGAGAATGAAGATTACGGGCTTCTGGCATATGACGCAGTGTAGTTTGGTAGATAGGTATCGACGTTTCGATGTAACCTACTGCCTCCATCATCAGGATTCTACCATACTGCACATCGTCACACCCCAGAAGCACGTATTCTTCTTCTTAAGGATCATTGCATTTCCAAAGCAGTACACTTGAGGCTTATTATAAACACCAATACATTCGTGGGAACAGAATGGCTACACGACTGGAGGGCAATATAGGCAGTACACTGCAGGGAGAAACGCTGTAGCGCAGTTGGTTAAAGCACTGTGCTACAAGCCGGGAGGTCGCAGGTTCAATTCCCAAGGTCATTGAATTTTTTAATTGACGCAACCCTTCCAGCCGCATTATGGCCCTGAGGTCACCTCAGCCTCTAGCAGAAATGAGTACCGGCAATCTTCCTGGGGGTAAAGGACGACTGAGAAGGCTGACAACCTCACCGCCATCTGTGAGCCAGTTGTCTAGAAAATATGACAGCTTCGATGTCTCACAAACCTATGGGCCTCCACGGCCTCTTACAGGGATATCCTTACCTTTAATACTGGAGGGGGAAGCGCAACAGCTCGAGGGCGGTATAGAAGGGATGTAGAACCGTGGAATTTCTTACGTGGTCTCAGTTTAGACATAATTACGTTGGGCTGGTTAACATATGCCATTTTGCTGTTTCAGGTATCCGTAAATGAGGCAGCGGCGCAAATCTGCCGGTTCATGCCGGCACTCCTCACTCGGCGCGACGAGTTGTTCCCGCTCGCCCGCCAGGTGGTGCGCGACTCGGGCTATCACTACTCCAAAGGTCACTCCAAGTAAGTTCCTACATATCAGTGCTTATATGCGCCTTCTGAAATATACGCTGAACCTGTCTCCCACATGCACAGTCCCTGAGGCGCCAAGCTTTGGTTAGGAAACTGAAATGGCGATAGACGAGAGAACAGTCTGAGATGTAAATAACGCTGCTTAGACGAAATTTAGACAAAAACAGGCAAAACATACTTGCACTACAGTTTGTTTTCAGCAGATGATGTTACAGTATTCCTGTTTCTATACTCAAGAAGTGACGTATTTTATTTGTGGTTCATTTAACTGCACTGACTGTAACTCAGACGACAAAGCACCGAATGGTTGGACGGTAGTGAGCTGGAAAGGATCTGAAAGGGAGCGGTCATGGCCTAATTTGAGGTACTGTCTGAAGGGACTGAGCAGAAGTACCAAGAACTTCAGTGAGGATATTCGGTGCCTTCAGGACAGAAGGGCAAGTCTGTTGAGCAGCTGGCCTAGTAAGCACTAACTAGAGTGTTTTCATTGTCGTGGGTCGTGGTAGGCGCAGATCACGCGTAGTGGTGAACCATTTCGTCTCATCTCATATATTGCTCGTTGACGACTCCCAACGCCGCCTGGCGGCAGTCTGTCTACGTGTTTCAGGGCGCATTCTGGGGCTGGGCGCAGCGGCTGCAATAATGGCGAAGACGGAGGCGGGAAGAGGCCGCGTCTGGAGGGTGTCCCGCCTTCCCTGTCGCCGTCCTCTTGCGACTTCCTGGACATGGATCCTCAGCAGCGCCTACGGAGACAGGTGTGTTCAGAGTCCCTCGCTCGCATATCCCGACACACCCACTTGTACCCAGTGTTGTGCTGGGTAGCTTACGACTTAACTCGGTAGATACAGCGGCTAGGCTACGGGCTGGGTGACCGAGGAATCGGGTTTTGAGTTCTTCATGGGTGATAGATTTTTGTCGTCTACATAGCTCTGGGTCCCATCTGGCCTCCAATCTAATGGATATCTTGGACTCCCCTGATAGAACGGCCGGTGAGTGAAACTGACCACTCACCGCAAGTTAGATATTTGTGTACCCCTTCATATATCTTCGTGGCATAGTGCTTAATAAATTAATTAATTAAGCAAGTTGGTTGAGGCACTGTGCTACAAACCGGAAGGTCGCGGGATCGAATCTCGACGAGGTGGATTTTTTCTGTTTACCTAATCCTTCCAGCCGCACTGTGGCCCTGGGGTCGACTCAGCCTCTAACAGAAATGAGTACTAGGAAACTTCTTTGGGGGTAAACGGTGGCAGGCTGGCACGTAAGGTTGAGAACCTTGATGTCTCAACCCTGTAGACCTCCACAGTTTGTTACGGGGATAGCTTTACCTTACAGGTATAGGATGAGAAAGTGTGGACTGGATTCATATGGCTCAGGACAGAGATCTCTGGTGGGCTGTTGTGAATAAGGTGTGAATAGAATACATGAAATTGCTTGAGCAGCTAAGCAACTATTAGCTATTAGCTTCCCAATAATCACTGCAAGAAGGATGGTGGGTTGTGCCTTTTCTGTTTGTACTACCTCCCCCTGAATCATACCGTTTTGCAACTTTGCATGCCTTATAAAGAATGTGTAGACAAAACAAAACATGTGAACTTCAAATTCTAACAGGAGCGGCTTGAGCAAATTGCAGACGAGCTGCGAACACTGGGAGAGCGAACGGAAGAACTGGTGTTGGCAGCTCAGCAAGTGCGAGATGTGAATGACTACCCAGCACTGCACACACTGCAGCAGCAGTTGGAGCTCCTGCAGGGCAAGCAGACGCAGCTACTCATGGAGCAGAGTGACCTCATGAAGCAACAACCCCACTCTTCAGCCAGGTTCAGGAATTGCTAAGTTAAACCGTAAAGAATCTTACCTGAAGCTCCATTTCCATATGTACCGCTTCTTCACCTGTGTCATGTAAACATCTTGCAGTTTCATATTCATAACCTCTCTTCAAATCTTATTTTTAAAATTTCCATTCTGTTCCCTATGACAGAAAATTTTGGAAACCACATGCTCTTCTGTTTAATAAGATATTTTGGTGTGGCAGTGTAGTTTCGTAACTCAGTGTCAGTGCATTTATAACCATCAACAGCCACACCAACACTTTATACCCTTGTCTTCCTCTACATGTTTAAGTATCACATGGTAGCATCTATTGTTAGGTTCAACTCTTCCAGCATGGGAGTTAAGATCAGTTTTTTAATCTATGTTAGACTAAGTTCAGTTAGACTTTAGAAAAATCCATTTCCCTCTCAGGTTCAAACCCAGGACATCCAGACTGTAGCCAGTCAATCAGAGGAGGAGTAACAGGAGTTTCTGTATAATACAGCTCATATTTTAACATCAAGAGGGTTAGATCAAATTATTGAAATTTCTCATAGAAATGCAGAGATTTTCTGGCTACACATTTAGCTTATTTCCAGTTCTGTAGTTGGCTCTTTAAAAATGACAATGATGATTATGTAATAGGGCTACATACACCTATAAGAATACATTTAAATTTCAGTATTTGGCTGACAGTTATGTTGATTTTGTATTGGGGCAGGTACTACAGAAGAGGACGAGCGTCATCATGCTTCGATTCCGAGCGGCCTGACACAGATGACACAGACTCTCAGTTTTCCTTTAGCAATACCAGCTCTCCATCACAGGTACACCATTGCTTCCAGACACTGTCATTGTCATGTTATACATGTCTGTGTTCTTTGCACACCACAAGCTAATTAGATCAGCTCAGCGTACTTGCAATTAATCTGCCATTGTCTGAGAAATCAGCCTGATGTTAATCATTCAGTACATCGTTTGTGTCAATAGATGGTATCACATGTGGTGTACCAGTGTTGAGGAGAAAGAGCAGGCTTTCATAAGATTTATACATGTGGTCAGTTGAAGGTCATTTGTAGAAGCATTGTAGAGTTTTCCTTCTACTGCATATACACCCAAGCAGCTTTGGTATTTATAGTAGGTTGTTCTGTGCTGGAGTTAGGCAGTCAAAGGATTCAGTTGAAAATACGTTACTTCCTGTAAATGAAAATATATGTAAAACGGAATAGTCTCTTCAGACTGAACTTTAAGAGTTATGAAATGTGCAATTTACAAACTAGTATGTGTAATATATGCTACTTACGAAGTCCACTGTAACATATATACTGCTGTACCCTCATACGTATACTGTGGCTTTACTTTCTGGGCCGGTCATTTTTCCACATAAGAATTTACTTCAGAAACTATATCTAAAACACCTTTTAGGGTGCATCATCATCATCAGATAGTGGCATAGATCATTAAACCATTATTAGAAAGTTACTAGAATTTCATCACTCAGTGGGAACCAGAATCACCATACTGGAGAACTCAAACACACAGGACCTTCTGTAAGATTGCCTGCTCAACATATGATATATCCTGAAAGCTGTAAACAAAGTCCTGTGAAGTAAACACGTGTAAAATAAAATATTCCCCATTCCTCTGTTATCCATATTTGCAGGAAGTTGGGGACTCTCGAGACTCGACAGCCACACGTGATGGGACGAGTGAAGGGAACGGTGTTTTAGACGTTAAGGGTGGCCGCAGTCCTTGTAAGATCTCAAAACAGGTAGGATGACGTATCCAAGAAGCTGGTAGTGGATCACACTGTACAAGAGGGAACGTGGAAATTGAGTATAAACACTGCAAGTAAACTTGAAATATGGTAGTGATGTAAACGTATCTGTTTGGTGTCTTAACAAAACATTTTTTTGTGTCTTTTTTTCAGATTCAGAAATTAAGTAGCCTCACATTTCACCTGTTGACAAATAATTGTCTTCGAAACTCCGTCAGCGGCATTCAAAGATAATTTAGACTGTCATCACTGGCAATCCTGGAAAATTATTATATGTACATGTAGAGAATTCCATCTTGCGGTTTTGATGTCCCTTGGTGAACATATGCCACAGCTCTCTTTGAAACTGAATCCAAATACCGTGAATTAATAACAGAAACTAAGGGATGAGATGTATCTTGGTGATTTGTTGATTGATGTGGTTCATATTATTGTTCACAGGAAGAGAAGGCAACTGAAGATAAGAGCAACTTGCTGATCCAGACTGTGACGCAAGTAGCAACCTGTGTCGCAGAAGGAGGCATGCAGGAGCTGTTTACTTTTACACTAATTGTTTCCAATTGCCATTTCTTTTTTAGTTTCAGGTTGAAGGAGAAATGCCAGCTACCTGTACATAACTTTGGTCATCTGCGGTAACATGCTGAATCAGTGTGATATTTAATCACAATTACTGATTTGTGATTATCTGTAAAGAAAATAGCTTTGTAACAGGTTATCTTCTTTCCCAGAATATGCTGAAACTACATTGTATAACTTTCACTAAATCAAAAAGAAAAAATCCCATTTTGATTTACAGCTGTATAATAGAAGTACCATATACTGGGGGCCTCTGTAATATGCACAGCATGCCACTAAACTGGTCCCAGAACTCATGTATTATATATATGTACTGATAACATGTCCCTAAAGTAATGTAATCTTGTGTAACCTAAGCTAATGTCACCAAATTCAGATCTGTCACAGAAATTATATGTGCGGTACCTCTAAAATTGTTTTAGAATTCATGTTTCATTTATACCTGCTACAATCAACATTACCCTGAAGTAACACAACTAACGTGACCAAAAGTGTGTGTCATATTCCACCAGACCTGTTGCAGAACTGATGTTTTGCCTGCTCTTGCTAGAATCAGCATGACTGAAATAACATAACCCAATATAGCCTAATGTAATATGTCACCTAATTCAGAACTAGTAGATTAATATTATGTCTAAAGTATTCTTACACAGTACAACCAAAGACATGTTAGTGATTAGTGTAACTGCACCAATGAGTAACACTGTACAAGCAAAACAAACACACATCTCGTGGTCATATTATAAAAATTGTACATTTTAAATATTTTACTTTGCATTGATTTACTTCATGAGGAAATATCAAGGGACAGGAATGTGATGAATTATTCAGAAGACAGGACATATGCTTTTAGTGCCACTTAGCTTTGTCCCTTGTGTCCATATTTCGTACTTCAGGGCTGAAGGTAATTAAATATAAAAATTTTAGAGTAATATGAAATTAACTGAGCATCCTCATTAAATTATGTAACAGTATTAAACTTCTGAACAAGGTGAATACTGGGTCAGTTTCATGAAAGAATCCAAAACTTTCATCCATATTGTCTTTTGAAATTTATCTTTTCAAGGAATGTGACATAATTGAATGCTCCCCTATTCTAAGATTAGTTACAAGGTTTAGCTTTATGTAACTGGCCCCACTGGCCTGCCACCTGGAGTGGAGAAAGAAACAGCCTTCAAAGTGACATATAATTCATGCAAAAAAATAATAATGCCAAAAATAAAAACCATTCTCATGGAAATACTTCACCATTGTCAGTAGTTAGTAGCCATATTTCCCATGCTCATGTTGCAACAGTTTCATCCTTACTCATTATCTTACTGTCAGATGCTTCCTTACTGCAAACATGACTAATGCTTTGTGCACTGCCCATCATCTGGAGTTCCTTGAGACATACCAGAAACTGTTGTAATATTTGAGGTTTTCACTATGAAGAAAGCAGTCTTCTGGGATGTGGCACCATGTAGATGTTGTGTTAACTGACCTTTTGGAGTCTATTAGCACCTGCTCATGCTGACCTGAATAGCAAACCTTCGCATGTTAAGGAAACAGATCAAGTTTTAAGGTCAAGACAATGGACAGTGTTCAAAATGGTAGACATGTTTATTGTAACACGTCATCATCTGAAATATTCCTTTCTTCTGGCTTAATTTCAGTGCTGTTTCATGAGATGTACTGTTATGTGTTGAAGTTGCAGGTTGATGCAGTGTGATGTGTTTTGTGAGGTATAGTTTACACCATCATCATGAAGTGTCAGCCATCAAGCCAGGTGGGCCAGCTGATGGTTCCCTGACAGCAGGATACTGCTGGATGGGAGTTATTGGCTGGAGGGTTGTGCAGCAAGCATTTGCTGCTGATTACAAGACTGATTATTCACAAGTAGCTTGCCCTCAAGAAGTAGTTCTTGTGTATATGCATTGCTGTAGCAAGGTTTGTGTGACGTGCTCATTCACGGGCCACTCACAATTGTGTTGGTTTATTCCAAGCCTGTAGTGTGTTCCACACAGATTCATCACACTAGAATTTGTGGTCTTTTAGGATTTGATACTGTGTAGTCTGATAGATAGGCACCAAAGTTTTGTAAAACCTTCTACTTCCATATTGAGGGTAGAAGATTTAGATATGCAGGGAAAGACAGTATGTATGTATATAGGGATTCAACTGGGGCTATGAATGAAAAAGTAGGAGTAAGTCACTTCACTCTGGCTGCGCCATATCTGAAGCGGTTAGTCGCTGGCTTCCCATCGCAGCGGCCCGGGTTCGATCCCGGGTCTGGTCAAGTGGGATTTGTGGTGGACAAAGTGGCACTAGGGCAGGTTTTCTCCAAGTACTTCGGTTTCCCCTGCCAATCTTCATTACATCAATTACTCCACAATCACCCTCACCTATCATCAGGGGCTGGTACAATAGGCCAGAAGTGGCCGCAGTACAAGGGACTTATTCCCACCCCACTAGCAATAAAAAAAAGTCACTTCACTCCTCTTCGTAACCTCTGGCTCCTATTGGTTCTCTCATAGTCCTGGTCTTCCCTTCTTTGTATCCATATCATCTTTATCTTTCCATCCTACTGTTCTATCCTGAAAATGGAAGCAACAGGTTGTTCTAGAATAGGTCACTTCCCCAAAACTTCTAACTTGAAGTCATCCCTATTTTGATTCAGTCTTTCAAAGTGTCAAGAGCTGAAGAGTACACTCTTCAGGGTTGTAACAGTGTGCAGTTTGGAGAAAGCTCAGTGTTTCACTCCACATTCAGGGTGGAATGGCAAATGAAGTAAGAAGAAGAAGAAGAACTCAACTTGCAGCCTGCGCCTCCTGGTTTCTTGCTTGACTTTCTCTTCAAACCTTCTGAAACATTGGTCTGTCTCTGAACTGCACAGCTCCATAGCAGAATCATAGTCCCTGCTTCAAGAAACAGAAATCTGTGAAGAGCTTGCTTAACTTTTCAACAGACATTACTTAGAGACAGGAAGAAAACATGAACACTTGTGAGTGCTAATTCTAAGAACAAAAACATACATTGCGTTTTCAAGCATATAGATTCAAGTAGTTACTATAGGATTCTGACGACGGTGTATAACACACAGAAATATTGGGTTTTCGGACTTTGTCCATCGTCCTGGTTTTTAAGATAACTAAGACGTTTCGGAAACTGGATCTGTTTCCGTCCTCAGGTGAGGGAAAACACCTATTATGTTGGGTCCCTTAGAAAGAGCTAGCCTCATTCACTGTCTGGCTCTTTCTAAGGGACCCAACAGAATAGGTGTTTTCCCTCACCTGAGGATGGAAACAGATCCAGTTTCCGAAACTTCGTGTTTTTCTTAGTTATCTTAAAAACCAGGACGATGGATAAAGTCCGAAAACCCAATATCTATATAGATTCAACTCTAGAATAACAAAAGCTTTCCCATTGGATTTGATCTAAAGCCAGTTATATCCATACCACATTACCAAAACAAAATTTTTTAAGATTCATTTTGATATTCTATATTCAGTTTCTGTATACTTCATCCAAGCCACTTGTCCAGACGGTTGGACAAATTGGGAAGTGTAGGTTGTCACAAGCGACTACAGAACTTTGTTGTGTCTTGTGTCATGTTGAATGAGCATAGGAGCACATCCTGGCTACTGGTGTGCATGCTAATAGGTGGGGGACTCTTTGATTCTTACAGGGTGTGCTTCGTGGGATTTGACTGTACTATACAAAAGCTGACTGCAGTTCTTCTAGTTTTCCTTCTAGACTGTAAACAGATTAGAACTCTTTACTTTGAGAATAAACAAGTATACCATGTCTTTGTTGAACTTTGGTGTAATTTGTTATGAAGACTATTTTCTGTTTCAGATGTAGATGTATGTTTGCAAATATTTTTTCCTCGGAATTGCCAACTTATCCAAATATTTCTTAATATGCATTTTCAGTTGATCAACAGAACATAAATTTTATTTATTTATTTAAAGATGGTATCAATAACTCAGGCAGCATGACATTGAATGATAGAATGAACGTGAATAATGGATTGGAACGGATGTGGAAGGAAGCAGTGATGGCCTACTTTGAGGTACTAGCCTGGAATTTGCCTGGAGGGACTGAGGAAACACAGACACTCTTGTGTCCGAGTCATGACTAAAATTATGTGGCTCCCAGATAGAAATCAGAAGCTTTGATGCTTGAGGGAATCTCCTTGATATGAGGACATAAAATTCACCTTGCACCTTAGAGTGGGAGTCTTCCAAATTTGCAAATTAAAAAAAAAAGACCTGTCTTGAACTTATCGCCAGTATTCTCTAGCACATAATCAAAATTTGAAGTTTTAGCTTATGAAAATGTCCTTGTAATCTATAAAGAATAACTGTATCACAGTATTTCCCCTAAATTTCCAACATTTTATCTAAAGATTGAGATTTGCCTACCAAGCACTGTTTTTTTCTGTATGGAGGCTGGCTGTGGCAGTATTCTCATGCTGGGGAGAATATAGTGACTAGTAGGATCATCAGCAACGATCAAAGACACAAATGTCCGTGGTGTAGGAGAGATCTGGACGTGTGACATCATGGGCCAAGTACCATACTGATCTCCAGAATCTTCCTGAACTATAATGTATAAAATACAAGGTGGTCCAAATATGACCGGGACTAATTTTTTTTTAAACCAAAATTGCAAAACACTTACTTGCACATGTCAGTCTTCAACGTACTCCCCTCCAGAGTCAACACATTTTTCCCAACGTTCTGGAAGCATCCTGATGCCCATTTCAAAAAAGTTTTGTGGTTGGTGGCATATCCACTCCCGAACATTCTGGATGACGGTGTCGTCCACAAACCGCATGCCTTGCAAGTCTGATTTGAGCCTTCCGAACAGGTAGAAATCACTTGGTGCCAAATCGGGACTGTACGGCGGGTGTGTCAGAAGGTTCCATTTCAATTTCCGGAGGGTTTCCATTGTTTTTGCCGTATGGGGGCGTGCATTGTCTTGAAGGAAGGCTACCCGCTTTCCACCTCTCTTCCGCTAGGATCGGATCTTTTCCTTCACGTCTGCTGCCAGGAGGTGCGAGTAATAAGCTGCATTGACTGTTCTGACATCTGTCAGAAAGTCTACATGGATAGCCCCCTGCCAGTCCCAGAAGAACATTGCCATCACTTTTCCTGCCGAACGGCTCCTCCGCGCTCTCTTGGGTTTGGGAGAACTGGTATGCCGCCACTTGCGTGATGATTGCTGGGACTCGGGAATTAAGTAGTGCACCCACGTTTCATCGGTGGTCACTATGGACTTCAAAAATGCATCACCTTCGTCTTCAAACTGCTGTAGGAGACGACTGGCAACTATGCATGCGCACCATTTTGTTTATGTCCATCAAAGTCCGTGGCACCCACTGTGCATTCACCTTGCGGTAGTGCAGGTGGTATTTCATGATGTCTTCTACACGACCAACACTGATGGACAGCATTGCTCCAAGTTCCTTGATAGTGATGCACCTATTCTCACCAATAAGTGCGTCTGCAAGATCAGTGTTTGGCTTGGTGACTGATGTTCGCGGCCTGTGTTCATGCAGATCATTCTCCACATGCTCTCTGCCCTCTCTGAAGCACTTACACCACTCAAACACATGGGTCCGTGAGAGACACTCTTCCCCATACTGTTGTTGGAGTCTGGTGAATTTCAGCGGACGGGACGTTTTCTCCGAGGAATTTGATCACAACGCGTTGTTCCATGCTCCGCGGTACCTTCTGTTCACTCATCACGCTAGCAACTTCCAGACAGGACTGAACAGGTTCTAACCCGAACAGGAGGAGGGTGGAGGTTGTGGCTTCACTCTCTCAAGGTCGTGCAGCTGCTGCGCAGTGCGGCTTGTTTACAAAAAAATCAGTCCCGGTCATATTTGAACCATCTAGTAGTTTTCTATGGAATGGATTCACTTGTCTCTTACTGTAGTTCCACTAAATGTTAATGGAAACTTCTTAGCTCCAGAAATGTCTTAATCATTCAGAAATTGTTTTAGCTTAGTCTGGGAGCAACACAAGTAACAGATATTGGTTTCATATGGTCTGTTAGCAGAAAATTTAAGTTCTACCTGCTACTGTGTAAGGATACCAAATTTCTGCAACCTTCACATCAAGTTTAATTTCATTAATGAGGTGATGTACTAGTCATTTGACACCTAATTTGATAGCTAAAGATTTTTATACTTGGATTGATAACAATACAGGCATAATATTACATAAAATGTTAATGTTTCACAGCAAGTAAATAGAGTGAAGTCTTTGTAGGCAGTCAACTGTGTAAGATGGTATAAATTTCCAGTATACCAGGAAACTGTTACTGTTTCCATCATCAGGGATTGGTGCCAGTCGTAGTGAGAGTCTCCCAGGATGGAAATAATCTTTATATGGCTGACTCCTCAAGAAGGCTTAATTGCATCAAATCTAATTGTTTTATCAGATCTTCAAAGTGACGGAATTGATACAAAATGTGCAACATTTGAATCCCGAAGAGTTGGCAGATCTGAACATTCAGTACTCCTTTTTGACTAAATATCTTTGTCCTGTGTGTTGAGTAATTTGTCATACTTGTTTCTTGTGTATGCAGATATAAAAATGAAAGTGCTTTTTCCCTGTTTCCAACTTCATAGTTTGTAAGAAAATTGTCAGTATTGTAAAACTTGTAATATTATTACATCCACTTTCTGTGACACATTCAGAATACGTCTCAAAACAGAAATGTACAAAATGTTGTTAGTGGTCTGAACAATATCTTTCTCTCCTTCAGTATGTCTGTTTATGTTGTATGGAGTTAAAGGACATTTCTGTTCTCAGGTGAATAAGGATAGATCAAGTTCAAGTGAATGAATGAGTGAGCATGAGAGTGAATGAGAGAGAGTTTGAGTCAGAGAGTAATTGAGACTGAGTTTCATGGAATGAGTGAGTGCCTGAATGAAACTGAATTTGTAGGAAGTCAAAGAATAAGCCAAACAAAAAGTAGCAGGAAGTCAATTGAACCATGCATAGAAAATTAGGCGTGACATGGCTTGAAGGGAACTGTGTGAGAGCTAACGAGAGGGTTAGGGGCTCAGAGCAAACTAATTCGATTGAAGGAAATGGTACGTCTGAAGGGTCCATTTTGTGTGATGAGTGAAAATCAGAACTCATTTCCATATCTCAGGTGGAGACCAGCAAGGGACAACAGGAGGAACTGGTAGTTGTCACCCTCTCATTGGATGTCTTACAGTTCCCTTCAGGCTTGGACTGGCCTCTGTTGGGCCATATTTTGCATGTTTAAGTCACTCTGCTTACTGCCTGTTTCGTGCCAATTTCTTGATTGGCTTATTCTTTGACCATGAAGATGGAGGCAGTATATTCCTCCAAAACATCAGGCTATCTCTGGACTACATAGCGCTACAATGCAAATGACTGTGTTCTTCATAATCACTGCTATGAGCACCTCACCTCCAGCGAACAAGAGTGAACTTGAACGGATAACTGAGGGCGAGTGAGCAAGTGCTGTCTCACTGACATTATGAGACACTTTGAAATAGCATGCTCATGTAGGATGCTGTTATAGTTGTAGTCGGGAATGGTGGAGGTACAGTACCCCAAAACACTGCCTACACCCAGGCAGCAGAATTCAAGTCAGCTTAGTGGCAATGCAGTTTTGAAATATTCTATAGGGATCAGAGTTCCAATTACCAGTTTTGTGTGTATATATATATATATATATATATANTTATGATTATGAACCTAAAATCAGGTAAGCAGTTTCAGCTACTGAAGTTTTGCCACTTGCACCTGTACTTGTACTTCTGGTAGCCATGTGGGCAGTTGGGTGCGTGGTGTGCCTTACAGAGCCTCATATTGCAGTTGGTGCAGGACACATTGCTGGACGAGGGATTACGAGTGGTAAAGGAGCTGGTGGCGAGCCAAAACAAGGATTCCAGCACTGGGAGTGATAATTCATATTGTGACCCTTACTGCAACGAGAACAAAGTTCAGGTAACTGAAGAGGCTACAGATTTGGTTGCTGGTATATTTATTGTCTGGCTGAGAGTCAGCATGTTGAGTAAGTGATCCCCAAACTTAACAACCTAATTAAAATAAATTTGCTGTCAACTTTAGTAGAGTTTTTGAAGTTTCATGGTCACTAGATGCAGTGAAGTTTCTCAGGTGATCAGCATGGGAATATCATCTCTGCCATCACCATCGGAAACAGCTAATCACCTAAGAAGAATCCATTGCATTAACTGTGTTACCTCCGCTCCGGGAGCTGTGATAGCTCAGTGGGCATAGTGACTAGGCTACATGCTTCACAAGGTTTTATTTGCAGTAAGGGTAAGAGTTTCTTCTCCCCTCCACAGCATTCACGCTGTTACAAGGCCCACCCCTCTTCTTGTTGAGAAGGCCTGGGGACTCTTTCCCGTGGGGTAAAGTGGCTAGACCATGAAGCTGACCACTTGTCGCCATCTGGTGCCAAAGCTAAGCTTTCAGCTCAATCCCCCCCCAGCTCTTAATGGCGTGGTGCTTAAACACACAGACAACTTTACCCTTCATTGCCTTCACACAAGAAGTAAAGGCTATACTGCCATAGTTGGTTAGGTTAGGTTAGGTTAGGTTAGGTTACAGGCAAGTAGTGGGTCTTGTATCTGCAGTAGGAAAATAACCTGTTTGTGTTTCACAGATGCTAACAGTGTTTAAACTGAACAATTTCAAGCATTTCCCACATTGACATCTCAGTTTAATCATGAATTCCAATTTATAATTTTATTAGACCCAGGGTTTTAAATGTTGAAACATTTATAAATGATGTATTATCTCTTATATGTTTTGAGGTTTTCATGGCAGTATCTAAAGCTGTGGTCTTTTGGGTTGTGGCAACATGTAATGTTATGGGCTGATACTGACATTTTCATGTTCAGAGTTGAAGTGTGTAGCTACAGGAATAGATTTAGTTATATAGGCAGGCTATGTGAAAGGTTGTCATGGGATCCAGCGATAAGGGATAAGGAAAAAGAATTTGTTTAAAATAATGGGAATAAATGAAAAAATAACAATCCATCTGAGGTGTGCACTAGATTATCATAAACACAAAATGGTGGATACTAGAGCACAAGAAACCCATATCCTAGACAAGAAGTTTCCATATGGTAGGCCTTGAATGCAAGGAGCATTATGGGCCCTGTATTTTGTGTATCTGCAGTTAATTCTAAGAGATTCTGTGGGTGGGCCAATAACCTTCTCTGTATGAAGTTGCTCCAGGCTTACTGTTGCTTCAAGTGACCAAGCAGGAAGAGCAGTAACCCTTGCAGTGAATGGGCATAGTGTAGAGACCATGTTCTTGCAATCATAAAATACCCTTCATATGTGTTATGGCCTTGTAGCAGATTTTGTTTTGTAAAGTCACGAGCTTGGTATTTCAAGAACTGATTTTGTACAGGTGATTGCATCAAGTGGTGGCAACATAATTGCAGTGGCAAATCCTGCTCTGTCCATGTCGCCAGCAATTGCACCAGCCAAAGCAGTCATGTCCGACACTGGAAGTGGTACTGATAAGAGGGCATCCACCCCTGTTGTGCTTCTGAAGCAGGAGCCCCTGTCTCCTGGCATGTCACCATCACCAACCATAGGACTGGCCAAGCCAGAGTGAGTCATCGTGATAGCAGGATGGAGGTAGGATTTGTGTCAGAAGAATACTTCATTCACACTGAGAGCTTTGTCCTCTATAGAAGTGAGCTGTGATCACAAGTGTAGCAAAATTATACCTGAAATGTGGTCAGTGTTCCTGGCTACAGATCCAGAGGTCTGGGGTCGATTCCTGGCACTACCAGATTTTTTCTGAGAAGTAGTGGGTCTGGAATGGGGTCCACTCAGCCTCGTGATTTTAATTGAGGAGCTATTTCAAGGAAATAGCGGGTCCGGTATAAAGAACCGAAATTAATGGCCATGGGGATTCGTTGCGCTGACATTGCGACACCCTATATCCGCAAAAGTTGGCACTAAACTTCGCCAACAAGCAGCGGTCGCTCGGATGGTATAGTTAGCTTGCGGACTGAAATCACGGAGTTTCTTTTTCATAGTCACATGTCAGAAGACTCAGTAAGCTTAAAGGCAAAGGCAAAGTTGGCCATAAGCTTAAATAATTAAGCACCATGATGTGAAGATGTATGGACGAGTGGAGGTATAGTTCTAGGAATTTTTAACCTGGCTTTGGATGGAGGTGAGTTGTTAGCTTCACACCCGGGCCACTTTACCCCCCCCCCCCAGNCCCAGAGAAAGAGCCATTGGTACCCTTCTGATAAGAGGCTGAGTAGGCCCCAGGGTCATTCTGGATGCTTTAGAAAGAAAAAATCTCTTGTTCATTTTGTTCTCCTTGGCAGTAATCCTGCTGGTTCACTCAGGACCCCTATCCTCACTGTTCCCCTTCCGATACCTCCCACTTGTTCTAGTCTGAAGCGTGTTCCACAGGAAGTCCTGTAAACATCTGGAAAATGGTGTTCTCAATAGTCACAGCTGTGAGAACCTGAAATTTCACATTGATGTACAGATACTGTGTCACATGGATCTGATAGTGAAGTCATATGGTATGTTTCAGGTTTAAGGGTTTGAACCGATGCAAGTCTGATACGAGGGCCGTCCTTAAAAAGAGAAAAGGCAGAATTATGTAGAAGGGGTTCAGGTCCTTCCCGGAGGTGGTGTGAAGGAACAGCAAGCAGTCACCATTTTTATTAAAGGGATTCAGTGACTATCATGTTTTGAACATCTCCTTTACGCTACCCCCAGCAAAAGTGCAAAAGTTTACTGTGATATTCGTGTTGTTGATTATTGTTCATTTATTGTTGTTGTTGCTGCTATTGCTGCTGCTGTTTGCTGCAACAGACTGAAGGAGGGTCTGTCTGTCAGTACTCAGAGCTCTTTGTGTGCCTCCCTGTCCTGTCACAGCTTCATTCATAAAAAATCAGAGTTTTGTGTTTCAAAATGTAACATGCATTCGATTTTATTTACATAAATGCTGAGGTCGGTAAAAGCCAAACACTCTCTGAAAGGCATGTGAAATGTAACACGTTATATAGGAAATAGTTTACATATAACATGACCTGTGTGGTCAATGAAATGTGTATTTCAGATTAAATATTTCTTCGGTGCATATAATGTAACTGTTTAGGTTTAAATTTTAATCAGTTCAGTATGCTCATGCTTTTCAGAAACACATTTCTGTATGTCTCAGACGTGTATGATCTGAATTTCTTAACAAATAATTATTTATTTGAAAAAACTAGTTTTGGCTTCATTTACTGTTATTTTAGATTTTATATTAAAAATATAATGTTTATCCCAACTTTCTGGAAAGACAAATTTGTGGTCTATATTGTAGAATTTACTGTCATATATTATAATTTCTGTAAGGGAGAAATTCTGTAATACAAACAAATGTAATTTTAGGATCCACAGAATGGGAATGCGGTATGTTTTGCCTACATGTTCCATTTTGAAATAGAGGCTCATATGCTTTGTCTTTGAAGGCTGTGTTCACATCACATTTACTCTGCCTGGCTCATAACCTAGGATAATTTAACACTTTAAGATAGAATTTTTGCTTTTTTTTGGCATAAACTGTGAACTATGAGGAACACATGATCCTTAAATATTAAATTAAGTGCAAAAATTGGATATTTTAGTACGTCTATGAATATTTGCATGGAATGCTTCTTTAGAATGGAATTGCTTGCATGCCTTCAGCACTCAAGAATGTTATTTTGTATCACCATGCCAGATATATATGATGGTCCCACCCTGAATTCTCGCTTTCTGACATGAATAGAGTTTCTAACTTGCAGCTCAGTAGGGATCTACGCAACGGGAAATGGTGTTGATATATTTCTGATTAGTCCTTAACAGCGTAAGTTGGAGTCCAGTTGCTGTAATGTCCTAAAAAGGATGATCCTCTGTAACGTGTAGATATTTACATTGTAATCGGCCATTTTATACATGTATTCAAGGGTTGCTAAGTATTTTAATCGCCATTTCAGGATTAATCAGAAATCAGAAAAATGGTATATTACTGTGCTTGAGCTGCAGATATGTGTATGTGAATGAAGCAAGACAATTTCTGCATTATCCATTCTGTGTCCCTGTTACCTTCAATGTGTGGTCCTGTTATGTCATAGCCACAACTGTGAAACAGTGCTGACAACTGTGAAACTTTGTACTCGAGCCAAGCCAACAAGTGTCCCGTCTGTGCAGTGATTCATCTTGTAACATAGAAAGAATAGCTGTATATATATATAACATGTTCAGTGGCTACAGAATTACACAGAGTAAAAGTAAAACTTCTATTGAAGTGAAATACTTGGAAGCAGAAGTTAGATTCCCACATAAACATTGATTTATGATAAAGTGTGTTTGTATGTTACAGTACATTTGCATAGGCAGTTGCATTGGAATCAGTAGTTGTAGCAAGGCAGGGTGCTTAACTATTGGGAGAAGTCTTGGTAGAGATTTTGATTATAATTCTTAATGTGATGATGGGTGCTAGCTGGGGGTTGGAGTGAGGGCAGGTATCTGTTGTCCCTGGATTTTTGGAAAGAATAAGAACATATATTACACATTAATACCAAAAGCTGAAATTATTTTTTAAAAAATGTATTCACAAATATTCTAACCCCCCCACCTCAAACCTGGCACCCCTCTCCCTGCAAAAAATCCAAGCAACACCCAAGAGCATAATTCTGATTTTCTACTTCCTCTGCTAATGCTATTAAGTGTGTTGATGGGTATGCAACAGTAAGGTTTCAGATAACTTGATTCAAGAAGTAGATTGTCATAATGTCAGATTCCAAACTCAGACATCCTGGACAAGCATCTCTATTCTATTGTTAGCCTGAGATATTTTAGAATCACCTGTTCATTTGATGGCCAGCACAATTAGCCAGAGAACCTCTCCTGCCTGCTCTTTCTCAGATATGATTAAATCAGAAGCTAGCATAGATAAACAACAGTGTTTCAGTCAGTATTATATTGTTGATTTTACCAAAGAAAGGTTCCTGTAGGCTATTTTATTATTCTCACTTGCTTCTTGTATCAAGTTGTCCTTCCAGAAATCTCCATGTTCGTGCATGTTCACTGAAATCATAATTACTGTTGCTGTTAATTAATATTGGTTTGAATTAATTCACCACATTGAAATGAATTAACATTTCTTGAACTCACACATAACAAGGATTACCCGTATATCTCATTTCAACATGAGGTTCCTTTGATTGTGTTATATTCAAATTCTGTGACATTGAACTGGAGCAAATAAAGTGCTCTCGCTGCTGGAGGCGAGGTACATACACTGCTGGAGGCCGACTTCCGTTTTAAGTGATCTATTTCACGGTCTGGAGTGTGTGTGTAGTTCTGTAGCCAGTGATGAATCTTGTAGTGCAGTGTTTTGTATCTGATACAGACAGAAGCTTGGCTGAAACAAATGATATAGTGCCTGTGGGTTTCAAGTCAAGCAATAGCCATGTAGCAATGTGTGATGGTCGTGATGCACCAGATCTCCAACTGGGGTGTTGCAATATTGGACTGATGTGGTATTATAAGATTTTGTTATTTTAAGTAAATATTTTTGAGTTAAATACAAGCTAAATCAGTATTAACAAGCAGCTTCTTTTCTTGAAGTCTTGCAGTGGTGAGAGTGATTCAGTGTACAGTAACCAGAATACCTGCCACATAAATGTCTTGCTGATTGCTAGGAAGGCTTTGAATCTGGTCCTTTATTTGCATAATTGTGGTATTTACTAATTTATTAAACATAATAATATTTATGAAGTGCTTTGCTTTGACTGAATCACTTAATAGTTCATAGTGATTAAGCAGAAAAAAGGCAGTAGATTGAAATACTTTATAGTAGACCCAAACAAGTTTATTTCTAACATAATAAAATACTTTTTTCTTCTAATTTTTCATCTTGTATGGCATGACAGAGCAGTGTAGTCCAAGGCCTCCAACTTTCTTTCAGAAACTTGTTTATAGATATCTGGCACAACTCCTTTTGACGAGATTGGTCTGTCACAAAGTAACTGCCTATGCAGGAGAGCATAGACACAGAGAAAGTGCAGTAATACAACCATACCCAAAGAAAAATTTGTACCCGTGATCCCAGTGTTCATGCAGTAGAAGACAGTTTATCCCTTAGACAACACAGCCACTGTGATGTGGCATAATAAAATGTACATAAATTTTCTTGTAATGCACAACTATTTTGTATCAGGTATTCAGAAAAGATTATGTCATAAGAAAAGCATTGTAGCATGTAGGAACATGAGGCAGACCATTCCTATTCTACTCTGCAGTGCTCTTGGGTGTTCCATTGGCTGCAAATCAGGTGCGTAGCCAGTGAGGATGTAGTAGAAAGAGCAAGCTGAAGAAAAATGTCTTATAATGAACTTCATACTGTGTACAGCTCACCAAAACCGTTAAAGTTATCATATCAAGGAGAATGTAATGAGTGGGTCATGTAGCACGTGTGAGAGCGAGAAACAGATCACTTTCAAGGCTCAACATATGAATGCTCAATATGCAAACATCTATACATATGAATGACCTTAGAATTGTTCCTACTTACACTAATGTATATAGTTTTCTAGGCTTATTTGTCTGTAGATGTGTAATGTGCTTTTTAACACTCATTTATAAGACAAAGTACATACAATATTTTCGGTTAAACGCTTTATTCATAAGCTGAGATATTCAGCTACTGCTAATTACATTATTTATTATGGGAAAGAAGTATGTTTTGACTTACAAACTGGATCTTTGAACATGAATCATCCGTAAGAAGAGGCTCAAATATATTGGGAGCTGTAACTGTCCATAATTTCTAAACTCCTTTCCCATTCTGAGTCTATTCTATTCAGTCCAATATTTAGAAGAGACAGTATATCTTATGGGCTTTAATTTCCAATGACATGAGTACTGATTCATATTTTCTGTCTCTGTTTCCTTATATGAGGCTGTATAAGATGAAAGCCAATATGAGCCATCATTCACCTATTTTAAAGAAAGTTTAAAATTGTGCTTTAATAATATAATCCATTTTGGATGCCGTCACAACTGAAAGTTCCAAATACGTGCCAGCTAGCTGCAAATGTCCATCTATGTTTGTATCTGTCCATCCATCTGTCTGCATGTAACACCTCAAGAGCTGCTGAACAGACTTTCATGAAATTGCTACTGTAATATGACAGTGCACAGTGTAACCATGGTGTAAGCTATGTTGGATCTGAAGTTCTCACACAACTGTCTTTGGGATGTGACGCCATATATTCTTGTAGAATTTTACTGGTATTTCGGAGGAATATGCCTCATCCATTTGCAGGGTCATGCATTAAGCCAAGCAAGAAACCAGCAAGAAGCAGGCACAAAACAAAGCAAGAAATATTACTGGACTACATTGCACCACATCTTGGAAGATAGTGTTCTTCTTTCTATTTTTATCTCCGCAATATTTCTTCATAAGGTCTTATATCAGTTTTGGTTTATTTTGTACTGTCCCATTCCTTATTCTTTCTCCCCTGGTTATGTCAAACCGGCTTTAAACAATCATGGTATGTGTTTTGAAAATTTACCAGGATTTTATTGCATGTTCAGTCCAGAACCATTTGTTGTCTCATCTGCTGTCTAAAAACGTTAAAATTAAAATATACAAAACTATAATTTTGCCTGTGGGTCTGTATGGGTGTGAAACTTGGTCTCTAACATTAAGGGAGGAACATAGACTGAGGGTGTTTGAGAACAGGGTGCTAAGGAGAATATTTTGACTGAAGAGGGATGAAGTGACAGGAGGTTGGAAAAAACTGCATAATGAGGGGCTTCATAACTTATATTCTTCTCCAAGTATAATTAGAATGATCAAGTCAAGGAGGATGAGGTGAGCAGTGCATGTAGCATGAATGGGGTGAAGAGGAATGCATATAGGATATTGGTGGTAAAGCCAGAAGGAAAGAGGCCAATAGGAAGATCAAAATGTAGGTGGGTGGATACTATTAAAATGCATCTTAGAGAGATAGAATGGGGTGATATGGATTGGATTGATCTGGCTCAGGATAGGGACCAGTGAAGGGCTCCTCTGAACGCAGTAATGAACCTTTGGTTTCCATAAAATGCTGTGAAGTTCTTGAGTAGCTGCACAACTGGTAGCTTCTCAAGAAGTTAGTTACTTAGTTATTTTGTTAAGTGTAGGGTATCTATCTTGAAAAGTTTTATATTACTTGGAACATCCAGTAGGCAGATCTTATTGCTGTCAAATGGTGATTATGATGATGATAATGGGGTGATAAATGAGAATAATGGCTAGCAGAAATGATAAGGCATACTGTGAACATTAAAAAAAAGTATTTTATATGTTTTATGATATGAGTGGGGTATAGGCATAGTCTGAAATATCATGTGTCATGTTTCCTGTGGGCTCTTGTTCTGGTGAATGTGTCTTAAATTCTTGTCCATCCCACTCAAGCCCAAACTGAACAAATCTTTACTATATTTCTGAGTTTACTGAAATCTGAAGGTGACATGCGATTTATCAAACACTAAGTTATAGTGAACAGTTCTGTTTTCTGTGATATAGTGCCATGTAGTCCAGTGAAAGTCGAACGATGTTTTAGAGAAACATGTTGGCTCCCTCTTGAGGGCTGAGGAGTAGGACAAATAATATACCAGCATGAAGCAAGCAGCTTTGTTTGCTGCCTGCTTTGTACTCATTTATTTCTTGGCTTATGCTTCAACATTGAAGATGGAGGCAACATGTTCCTTTCAAACACTGATTGATTTCCATGAGACTACACATCATTATATCTCAGAAAATTGAACTCTTCATAGTCACTGCTATGAGAACCTCAGATGCAACTAAATTATATTGATTAAGAAATATACAAATGGTGGCAGGTATGACTGGTGCTACACAAAGCAGCTAGAAATAAAAATGTTGACAGCATTTCTCTGTCACATTTCCATTGTGTGTGCTGTTTAATAAAAAACGCTGTTCTCCATACTACTGGAAATGTAATCTTTTCTAAAGATAATTTTACATTCTAATTTATGAAAATGACATGTAATGCCAAAATATGCTTACTTATTCAGATGAATTTGAGGTGAAATTAAATACATTCAGGAAATTCTTTTCATGTAAATGTGAACGGATCTATGTGTTTCATCCTCAATGTTCCCATCTCATCTTTTTATATAACAGCAATAGACTCGGTCCTGGATGTCAGATGATGAATGAAGAATGAACAGGAAAGTTGCATCTGGCAGTGTTCCTATTGATGTCCCAGAAACAAGATGGTGGAGCTATGCTGTTCCTACCTCAATGTTCTGACACTCTGGTAAACATATATCCCCTACAGGTTGTCTAGTAACAAAATCTCTGCACCCTTTTCTGTCATCACAAAGGTCCTCCCCCTCTGTATCTTCCATGTTCTTTTCTTCATTTGTTTTAAAACATGACCACATATATTCTGAGGTATTTATCTTCCTATCTTCTTTCCCCTCCACCCTTTTAAGTTTTCTCTGTTCTGTCTGGACTTACCTTCTCTCTTCTTAAAAATCTCATCTCAACTGCCATTAGTCTACTGATATACAGGTATGTCTTGGGTTATGTCTGTGTTACTGCTCCATACATTAATGTTTGAATGTAAAGAATTTTTCCTGCCTTTGGCATTTCCTGTTCCCACAGTATATCATTAAGAAATTTTCATGCATTTCTTTTATTTCTTCTGCAAATTCTGCTTACAGCCTTCCTTTTGCCACTGCTTCACTTTGCAAATACTTAAACTCTCCCCTCTCATTAGTTCATGTTTTTACTCTTCATTAGTTTCCTTTTTATCAAGGAAAAATATACTAACAGAAGCCTGAAATTGATATAGGAAAATGGATCAAATGAGATGACAATAAACGCCTTGCTTGGAAACATACAGCAGCTTGAAAGAGCGGGGGGAGGGGGCTGCAAATGTGTTGAATAAGTAGTCATGTACAGCCAACAAGGGAGAGTCCTCAGTTTTGGGGATTGAATATGGGGCTCACCATAAAAGTATATTTTGTTATGAAATTACGAGAGCCTTCCACAGCGAAGCAAGTGCTACACAATCAGTGCTCACCATGGGTGTTAGAGCTACTGGATTTGACATCCAACAAAACGTATTTAGATTCACTGGGTCTCAGAAGTGGGCACCGAAGAGACTATTTGGACTCGAGGAAGGAAATAACAGGAGGTTGCAGGGAAGTGCATAATGAGGTGTTTCCTAAATGTACTCCTCCACAAATGTAATTAGGACAAAAAATTAAGGAGGGTGAGATGGGCAGGACATGAAGCACACATAAAGGAGAGAGAAGTGCAGAGATTTGGTGGGAAAGCAGATGGAAGAAGACAACTAGGAACACATAGACTTAGGTGGGCGGATAATATTAAGATGGATCTTAGAGAAATATAATTGGGATGGTATGGACTGGATTCTTCTGGCTCAGGATAGGGATCAGTGGTGGGATATTGTGAACATGGTAACGAACATTTGGATTCCATCAAATATTTGGAAATAATCCAGTAGCTGAGAGACTGTTGGCCTGTCAAGAAGGAATTGACTCCATGGAATTAGGTGACTTTTAAGTAAGTTTGTTGTATAAATTATTTGTATATCATGATGCAATAATGTGTTCGACTGAAATTTAGTTTGATTCTTGAATTTATGCAATTTTTTGTGGTCATATACCATAGCTGCATGACCCTTGCCAAATGTTTAACTAAAATGGACGAAGAAAGACTGCACTAAACTGTCTTTCCATTGTCTCCTCTCCTCTGGCTATTGTTCACAACAACATGTTTATACTCTGTAAGGACACCATGAAATTTTGCTTCTAAATTACTTTCATTCAGCAGATCATGAATATAATTATTGCTGGGATTTCTTTTTATCTGTGAGAATGAACAGAAATGAAATTTTGGTAATGAACTTACTTTCACATTTATCTGCAGTTCATGTGACACTTCCAGTAACTGAGACTATATTGCATCAAATGATTGGACAGTAGTTAGTACTGAACTAGAAAAGATGTGGAAAGAAGCAATTCTAATGTAATTCAGGCTACTTTCTTTTCAGCGCATTGAAAGGTTTATACAGTCTGGAAATCACACAGATAATTCATCTATTGTAGCTTGTTAACAGATGATGTAAGGTGTACTAGTGAAGTTAAATCCAAGATTGCCATGACAAAAGCTGCATTTAGCAAGAAGAAGAATCTTTTTACCAGCAAATTGGACTTAAATTTGAGGAAGAAACTAGTGAAATGCTACATTTGGAGCATAGCTCTGTATGGGGCTGAAACATGGACACTTAGGGCAGTAGATCAGAAACATCTGGAAAGTTTCGAAATGTGGTGTTGGAGAAGAATGGAGAAGATCAGTTGGACCGATTATGTGAGAAATGAAGAAGTGTTAATTAGAGTCAGTGAGTAGAAGAATATCCTACACGAAATAAGAAAACGGAAGGCTAATTGGATTGGTCATGTTTTACGCAGAAACTGCCTTCTAAAAGAAGTTATTGAAGGAAAGATAGAGGGGTGGATAGAAGTGACAAGAAGACGTAAGGAGATGCTGGTTGACCTTGGGGACAGAAGAGGATACTGTCATTTGAAGGAGAAAGCTCTAGATCGCAATAAGTGGAGGAATTGTTTTGGAAGAGACTGTGGACCTGTCGTCTGACAGATTACTGATGATGATGATGATGAATTCATCTATTACTGAATGTAGGAGCTAGCGAGCCAGGATAGTGCAGTCAGTAGAGCAACTGACTATGGGCTGGACAACCGAGGGGTCGGAGTTCGAGTCCTAGTAGGATCAAGAATTTTCTCTTATCCACGTCGTCCAAACGGGCTCTGGGGTCCACCCAACCTCCTATCCAACGGGTACCGGGAGCCCTTTCTTCCGGGGTAAAACAGCAGGGACATGAAACTGACCTCTCACCTCCAACTCGTCCAGAGGTCAAGAAAATGTGGATCTATACATTCACTCCATCATACACCTTCATGGCATCGTGCTTAATTAGCTAAGCACAGGGACAGCTTTACATTTAACCTTTATTACTGATGTAGGCATTAGTAACTTGTATTCAATGAGAGATTTAAAATTCGCGCAATTTTATAGAATCTGTTTCCTTTATCTAATAAATCTTAAATTGATATTCGAATCATTCATTTTTAAATAAATATATTGATAAACGCTTTTTCGCAATTTTGGATCTATGTTCAGGTATTCAATAACGTAATTTAAACCGTGAGAGTTTAAGATGATTAGCGTTGATGTTTCAACATCCGGTTCCAATGCCGTCCGAAGGGGAGGTGAAGAAGAAAATGTAAGTGTTGTTTCTATATTTTATGTGAAGTGAATTGTTTTAGTATAATAATATTGAACAGTAATCATCTATTCCGTATTCTTTGTAAGACAAATGAAGTATTTGGTGTTTAGGGCTCGCAATCGCCGAGAAAACAGCAATGCGAAAAGTGAGTCAGATTCGGACGCCTCGAATAAAGAAAACAAGAAAGAGAGAGGGAGAGAAAAGAAGAAGAGAAGTGCGTCTACATCAAGTGGCAGTGGCAGTAGTAGTCGGAGGTTTGCATATCTTGCTTTCATGATTTTATGTAATAGTGTAGGAGTTCCGGCACACCTTTCAGAATACGGTGACAAGGGTATTTAACACCTTAATGCTGAAAACTTGGCGGCACGGCCTACCAACATAGGAACCGTACTGTCGAAGGTCCAAAGATATCTAGTATGGTGGCAGTAGTGAAATGAATTATTGAACCCAAATCACTAACATAACATAACCATATCTCTTCCAACCCATTATCTTCATGATGTATAGCCATAGCTTATCCACTGGTTCTTTGAAATACTGGCGCTTTCCCGCCGGTTGAATATTATGCCCTATTGACTGGAGTTGGTATTACAAAAGCACCCACTTGAATATTAGAGCAGAAAAGTCATAAGTTCATTTTTCGCATTATTCTGAATGTTCGCCAAAGTTACTGTTTATTCTGCAGTATCCTTGGGGGCTCTGAACCCAGTGCTTGAGCAGAGCGCACCAACTTTTCTGATGGTAATTATATTGTAATTTGGGGCATGCCTTTAATCCAGGAAGTTCATGACATAAACAGAGGTGGTTTGACAAAAAGTTTGTATGCTCAAAACATGGTGTCATCTTTGTTAATTATTAGCCATGCACCTAGCATTCATTCCTCCTCTGAAGCCCATTGTTCACAAGAAAGTGCCAAGTGTGACTGAACCCTGGACCTGCTTATGAATGGTTGATTCCAGTTTACCCTCTGTTTCTTTGTGTTCTAATGTTATCTTCCTCTGGCCTATTGTACCAGCCCCAGATGATAGGTGAGGCTGATTGTGGAGTAATTAGTGTAATGAAGATTGGCAGGGGAAACCGAAGTACTCGGAGAAAACCTGCCCCAGCGCGACTTTGTCCACCACAAATCCCACTTGACCAGACCCGGGATCGAACCCGGGCCGCCGCGGTGGGAAGCCAGCATCTAACCGCTTGAGCTTTGGTGCAGCCCTGGGATTTGCCTGAAAGGACTGAGGAAAGCCATGAAAAAGTCAGGGGGACTGTTATCCCAGCTGAAATATGTACCAAGTACCTCCTGAATATAAGTTGAGTGTTACTGCTTCAGCAGCCCTATCAGTGCTAGGCTAGTTACATGATTATAAGGGACATGTATATTCAGTGGAGGAAACAAAGAATAACTAACTTCATGGACCAGAGCCCTTCTTGAGAAGCTGCCAATTTTGTAACTACTCAGGAATTTCCCAGCATTTTATGGAACCCAAAGGTTCATCATTGTGTTCAGAAGAGCCCTTCACTGGTCCCTATCCTGAGCCAGATCAAGCCAGTCAATACCACTCCATTCTGTCTCTTTAAGATCCAATTTAATATTATCCACCCAACTATATGTTTGTCTTCCTAATATCTCTTTCCTTCTGGCTTTCCCAGCAATATTCTACATGCATCCCACTTTGCCCCCCATTCATGCTACATTCTCTGCCCATCTCATCCTCCTTGTCTTGATCGTTCGAATTATACATGGGGAAGAGTACAAGTTATGAAGCTCCTCATTATGCGGCTTTCTCCAACCTCCTGTCACTTCATCCCTCTTCAGTCCAGTTATTCTCAACTCCCTGTTCTCAAACACTCTCAGTCTGTGTTCCTTCCGTAATGTCAGAGAGGAAATAATGCTTATACATTTTTGTAATGGGCAACATTTAGTAGGCAGCGGCATCAAAGATCGCTAACAAAATGGAAGAGTTGTAGCGTTTATCTATGAGGAATAGATTGCGACAATGTAAGCACAGTTGAAGTCGTTCAGTGTGAGGCTTTAGAAATGTGAGGCTGATACATCACATGTGGGACTGTAAAACTGGTATACAAGTGGAAAGTGTGTCTCGAAACATACTCTGTGTGTGATATGAGGTTCTGACAGCAGAGACTGAACTAATGCAGTGTGAGCAGTAGCCAGTTCTGTCCACTGATGCTTACAGAGCAGGAGATCATGTTTCACACCCACAAAATTAATGTTGTGTTTTAGCTAAAGTGATGTCTTTTTACAGCTCCTCAGACAGCAGCTCACGGTCATCAAGTGGCTCAAGTTCATCCCACAGCTCAAGCTCAGGATCCACATCACGTTCCAGTTCATCTTCTAGCAGTTCAGGCAGTTCGAGCACTAGCTCAGGTGCAAGGGCTCGAGCCAAGCGCAGGTACGGCTTGTTTCCTGTCAGTTGGAGTAGTGTTCTCAACTTTTCTATGTGGGACATATAGTTCGGTACTTCATTGCACACCAGGTCACATACACTGGAACTCCCATTTGTTATTCCTCAATTTAGTGTTTCCCTCAATTAATGTTCTGTTTCAGTGATTCAATGTCAGTAATCTCAGTGTTTTTTCCATTGAAAATGTTCCTCAGTTTTGCATTAAAAGACACTGCTCTCCAAAGAAGAACCGTGATATCTCAGTCATATAGTGACTACAGGCTGGATGACCAAAGGCCCATAGTTTGAGCCCCGGTAGGATCAAGAATTTTCAGTTCTCCAAGTTGTCCAGACTGGCTCTGGGGTCCACCCAACCTCCTTTCGAATGGGTAGCGGGGGCTCTTTCCCCAGGAGTAAAGCGGCCGGGGCGTGAAGCTGAACACTCACCTCCTGGTTCCGAGGTCAAGAAAATGTGGGTCTATACGTCCACTCCCCCGTATGCCTTCATGGTGTAGTGCTTAAGTAGTTAAGCACAGGAACAAGTTTGCCTTATCTTACTCCCCAAAGAAACATTAGAAATGGACTTTTCTGTGTTTTGTAAGGTTTTATGTGCTTTATTATGCTTTTCAATACACATTGAACAGAGTATTATTAAAATATTGACTGCCACAGAGGACGCTGATGTCTACTCTGTGATGCTTGTTTATATTTGCACGACACTATCATGTGTCTGCTGTACGAGTGTGTCCACTATGATTTGTGGGATTCAGTGTTTGTGTCATTTGTTACTACACTTGGTCGTCGACTTATGACTGACAGGTTGTAAGTCGATCTAGTCCTATGTCAGCCATATATTTATTAACAGTATTTTTTAACCTTTCTAATCTTTTTATCATCTTTATAATTTATTTTTAAAAACTTCTACATTTTAATAATATTTTATTTTTCATTTTTTTGTGGTCCTAAGTCGACGACTAGGCGTATATAATATGTAGTTGAAGACCGTTATTAAGTCAGTTGTCTGTTGGTCATATTTCAAGTGGTGTTCCTGTCCACAGCTCAGATACAGCATGCATTTTGATTCTTTAGAATGCCAAATGGGTTGCACAATAAAGGAATATGCAATGGCTAAGGCCCACACACTCTGTTTTGTTCTGGCAAGTTTTTAAGCTGTGTTAATGATTGCACTTTTCACAAATTCTTGACTTTCAGAGCCACCAGTGGTAGCCGTAGTCGCAGCAGAAGTGCAGAGCAGAAGAAAGTCAAAGAGAAGGAAGAGAAGAGAAAGAAACCAGAGAAACCAAAACCCAAAGCACGATCCAGGTTTGAATTATGCTGATTTTGTGTTCCCACATTTAGTGAAACCCAGTATAAACCGTGGATTACATTATTTTATTTTTTAATTTCAGTGTGGTAAATAACCCGCATTTGGTATAAGAAATTTCTGATGTTCAAGAACTTGTACCTCACGACTGAACAAGTTGTCTCAGCAGTAACACTTCGCATCTGACCCTTTGACTAGTTTTTTATCCTCTGGTTTTTGTAGTCCCCCTCGGGTGAATATTGGAATAGTACCTGAAATGAGACCATGACTGCTTCTACATCCTTTCCAATTCACAGTTAATTATGTTGCTCAGTGTGCTATATAATCTGAGTTACAAGGTCATTAAGTAAACCATAAATAAATAAATACAGCTGACAAAGTTGAGTATTGAGTGGGAATGTGGAGACTTGCATTGTCATCATATTCATGATTCCCTCAGTACCTGGGCTCACTTCCAGTATGTCTTGGTGGCATATAGATAGCTTTTCCTTTGTTGTTAATCGTCATCTTAATGCGATGTACAGAGTGTGCAAAATGTAATAAAATAATTATAATGTTTTTACGTCGCAGAAGTGCTGAAATGTGCATCAGATTTCATATACAAGAATGCAGCATAACCTTTACTTCAGTAGATGCACCTGACTTGCATTACACAAATTAGATGGTACTGTTTTCCATGATGGGTTGGATGCATAGTATTCTGTTTTGAGAAATGCTAGTATCCTAAGCACCATTCTTTTTTAATGTGCTGCGTAAGTTTCGCATTGACAAGACGTGAATGATGAATGTTGTGTAATTTACTTCCTGTCTCATTGTATTATTGCAGGTCTGCTTCCCCTCGTCGGAAACGTAAGGAACGTTCGCCCACGCCACGCCCCACAAAGATTCATGTGGGGCGCCTTACCCGCAATGTTACACGGGATCACATTCTGGAAATATTTTCAACCTATGGCACAGTGAAAAGTGTGGACTTCCCGCAAGATAGACTACACACACATACTGGGCGAGGTTTTGCTTACATAGAATTTGAGACTCCCAATGAAGCAGAAAATGCTATGAAACACATGGATGGAGGTACGGGAGACAGGCAAGAGAAAATGCAGTTATGTTTATAAATATGATCTTCATCTGTAATCTTGGCATTAATTGATATCTCTGTTTGGGCTTTCTTATATATAATACACATTGATATCAATAATACAGTAGAACTTGGTTATAACGTCATCAAAGGGACCTAAAAATAGTGTCGTTATAAATGAATGTCATTGTAACTGAAATGGGCACTTCCACAGTAGCCTTATGTTAGTCACATAAAAATCTACCAAAAACCGAGTTAAAATGTTGCATTTTTTTAGTGGAATGCGTAGTTAAGTACAGACTAACGTAACATTAACTTGGAATTGCCCAAATGTGTAATATCAAAGACATATTACAGCGCTTTTCACTGACAATACACACCGCACTAATACTGTATATTAAAGGTAGGCCTACTCACCAAATTACAGTAGATTACATCAATTGTTGTGCCTTACTGTACCTAGATACGAGTACAGTAATCAGTTATCTTCATCTGTTTCCTGTTACTTGCCCAATACANTTGAGTGTTATGTAACTTTGACCTTTGGGGTTTAGCCATGGCATGTCTGGAAGTGGTTGCATTATTTTGAAGTACAGTGCAGTTGCTGTCTTCAGAGTGAATGATGCAGAGTTCATATGTAATTGTTCTTGTTACAGGACAGATTGATGGGCAGGAAATTACTGCGGCGCCAGTGCTTCTACCAAAACCCAGGCCAGTGCCACCTCGTCGCAGCCCACCCATGCCTCTACGAAGGCCACCTCCTCGCTGGGGACGTTCTCCACCTCGGTTAGTGTTTAGGTGGGTGGGTGGGGGGGTGGATTTTTATGCTGCTTTCAGGTCTGGACTGAATTGTGGGATGAATGATGGATTGGAAGGAAGCATTCATGGCCTAATCAGGATACTCAGTACTTGCCTAGAGGGACTGAGGAAAACAATGAAAAACCTCAGACAAAATAGTGTCCTGGCCAAGGTTTGAAGCAAACACCTCCCAAATACGAGTACAGAGCATTACTACTATGCCTGCTTGCTCCATTAATGTTATTGTTATCATGTCTCCGTGTAGTATTTAAGAACATATTTTAGTACTCTGTACCGTTGAATGTTATCATCACATCTTGGGGGTTTATGTAGCGTGACATGAGACTTAATGCTGCTGAGAACTGAAACGTATATCTCAGAAAGATAATACTTAAAACGTATTATGCGATAGAGAAATGAGAAATAATTTACATGAAAACCTGCGTCCACTGTATGCACTAAATGAAATGCATGGTCCAGCAGTATAGCACATGCTTCATTTACCAGTAGCAAAGGTAAAAGGGGAATTATTATGAACACAGGAAAGGAAGATGCTTTTTGTCCCAAATCTTGCTTTGGTGTTTGAATCGGATAACATGAAGAAAGTATCACAGTAACGTGAGTTTGCTGAAATAGAGGGATGGCTCGAGACTCATCTGATCCACAGTGCCTCACCCAGATCAGTTTCTCATAATCTTACAGTGTACCATATTGCTGTCAAATTTAGTGCCAAAGTTTTTGTCAGTAGAAGCCGAAATGATTTCTTAGTTAGATGCCCAAGGTACTGAAACCTCAACTTTGTTCTGTAATCAGATTGAACAAGCCATGCTTCATAGCACAAAATAGATGCGTTTCTTGCAAGACATGGGACATTTTATGTTGCGTGTTTCCCTCACCTCCCTCAGCTTCATCCTTTACTACTGACTGGATTTCAGCAAAAGGTCATGTTGCAAACTTGATGTTGTACTACTGATGCCCAACATAGTGGCATGCTTGACTCTTTCACCAAATGTTTCAGCTAGCCAGCTGTCATCTCTTCCAGCTCTGGGTACTTTGTCACCCCATCACACATTGCAGTCACTGTAAATCCAGATGAACAGTAAACCATGTATGTGTTAATCGAAACTGGGTCTGATCAAGTGGGATTTGTGGTGGACAAAGTGGCGCTGGGGCAGGTTTTCTCCAAGTACTTTGGTTTCCCCTGCCAATCTTCATTCCACCAATTGCTCCACAATCACCCTCACCTATCATCTGGCGCTGGTGCAATAGGCCAGAAGTGGCCGCAGTACAAGGGACTTAGTCCCACCCTACTAGCAATAAAAAAGAATACCAGGATACTGGGTGTGATTTAAATGGGAGATATGTGTCAGTAGCCCCAGCATTTGATGTGCCTATAAACTTATCTTTACAGATACCGCCGTCGCTCTCCACTGCCACCAAGAAGAAGATCTCCACCCCCACGACGTCGCCCACGTACAAGGTCCCGTTCTCGGAGTCCTGCAAGGAGACGTCGATACAGTCGTTCCAGTTCGAGCAGTTCTCGTTAATTGATGTAGCATGACAGAGCTGTCTGGCAGTACTTTGCATCATGTGAAGACAGCAACTTGCTCTTGTATATAGCAAGCACTTCCATGAGTAAACAGTGCCACTGCTATGAGAATGTGATTCCACCTTCCATAGATCCAGAATGCATCCCTGATGGTTTACTCCAGCTGCTTGGTCAATTGTGCAGTCTGAATAACTGCCCAGGGATACTGTTTTTCTACTTGAAATTCAGTACTTCTATCTAAATACAAATGAGTTCTTTAGTTAGTTAGTTAGTGAATTTCAGTTGTTCTCTTCATATAAATGGGTTGCTTTGTTTGTGTTCCTACATCCATCGATGTAAGTACAGACCATTGCAGGTTAAGTATGTGAAATGACAGGTGACAGATGTGTTATATACAAAGTGTAGTGTTAGTATGTGAGTCTTTGCTTCAGGGTATAGTTTTGAACCCTGCATTCAATTTGTAAATTGTGCTGAAGAACTCTTGTATTTTATATAAAGAAAATGCTGATTACTGAAATAAAGATATTTCAAGATAAAGAAGCATTAATTTTTCTGATACTCCCCAGAATGAATGCATATGGAGTAAATTAACTTTACAAAGAAACTTAGTGAAGGTGGCTGGAAAGATGTGTGCTCTCAAATCCAACTTCATTACATTTTGCAAAAAAGTATACATTTTCTTTTCCTGTCTCTAAAATGCAAATTGGGCTTATGGTGACGTTTGTGTGGAGATGTATGCATGTGTTCGTTTGCAATAGACCCACAGCAATGTACGCAGCTGTGCTTTTCACTGACTAGGAGAGGTGGGGTTTGGTATTTTAGGGAGTCACAGTGTAACAAAGTTTCAGAACTCTTCAGTTAGTTGGAAAAGGGCACATGTCCAGTGGGTGAAATGTGGACATATTTTTTTTTTGACCGATTCAGATAGACACAATAAATTTTAAATTATTATGTTGTCAGTGACTAAAATGAGAAATGTTGCCATATATGTGAAAGGAATTAATGAGTCGTATTGCAGTTATAAAACTTGGCCCTGTGTAGCCCTCCATGAAGACATGGGGGATGGAGGTATGGCTCCACTCATAATTATGGCAGTAGATGGAGGTGACTGATCAACTTAATGGTTCAGACACTTATGTTATGAAAGGAGTACCTGGTATTCGAAGCAACTAAAATTTTTAATGCATTCAGTATGAAAAGCATAAATATTACTCTTATTGCAAGAATCTTTAAAGTGTAATTTTTAGTTTCTCATATTATTCTTACTGAATTAAGACTTCATATGACACTTGGTTTACTGAAACCTTTTCTTTACATGCAAACAGCAAAATATCCAAGTAGATCAGAAATGCGATTTCAATATCATATCTTTTTGAAGTCCCACAAATGTCGAGGGTGACGAGCTGTCAGACTTTGGTGGCTTTACCCTGTGTATACTTGTTGCTGTGCTCTGCCATTCATATACCATTTTCATTTTGGGCTTGCATCATGTGGTGTCTACCATGTCTTCATACCGTATTTGTTGATCTGTGTTCCTTTACATGATGTGCATATCACATTGGGTTTAGAGAGTGTTCACACAAATTCATGTCTGGGCTAATCATTGCTATCATACATGTGTATGTTCTCTCTCCTTTGTAGTCTTGAAGCACCCAGATGAACTTGCTGGCTCAAAATAGAAGAACACCTTTCCTGCACGAAGGCCTTGTGCTCTTTTTTAGAGATAAAAGTGACTTGTTTATTTTCGCACCTTCCAATTTTGTCTCCCGTCTCTTTACCTGCCAAATTGATTAATGAGAACTTGCCATGAATACTGCGCGAATCTGTGAAGAATTTGGATTTTCTGACGTGTGTCCCATTGTGTCTGGGAGTGTTACCATCTCATCCTTACTACAGCATTACTACATTTTCAGTCAGCTCCAATGATCTGCTCTTCCTGCTTGCTGTCTTCAAGGACACACAGTTCAGCTTTGTTCATGAGCAGATCAAACTTGTGGCTGTAGTTCTTTCTTCTTCTTCATTTCATTTCATTTATTTACATGCCACAAATCCATTACAAAGTCATAGGACCCAGGATAAAGACCATAGTCCAATATATGATATAAACAAGTATGGTTCGTTATAAATGTGTAATAAAAGATATAATGTAAATATAAAATTTACAAGTCACTTTTCAAAGAAGATGGCGGGTACCATCAAGTTCAGTTCATAATACTTAGGTGACTTGAACTTAAAAGACATCTTTGGTGGCCATGGCATAGATTCATTTCTTGCAATCTTGAGTCCCTATGGTAAATTGCAAGCACAGTCATTCTTGGTTCCAGGCCCAGTGGGACCCATGACATTTTTCTGTCTCACAAATCTTACTGAGTCACAAGACTGATTTTAAGCTTGTGGAACCCACTGCAGTGCAGTAATTTGCACAGCATAGCAGTAAATTGCTGCTGGACCTTGCCATCACAGTTATCCTTGGTTCTGGTAACCCTGTTGGGATTCATGACCAAATTATATATATATGTGTGTGGAAAGTTTGTCTCACCCTGTGGAAAGACAGCGCTTGAAAACAATGTTCAGGGTAGAATATATGGATGTAAAAGAGAGAAAGAGAAGGATGGGACAGTTCATAGGTAAAGTTTTCCCATTGCTTAATGATGGACCACATTGTGATATATGGAAAGTGGAGGTACAGCTCCATGCATTCTTAACTCCGGCACTACTTGAATGTATGTGGCCAACTTCGTTCACCTGCCGCTTTACTATAAAATTATGATGCTCTACACAGAGATGTCATACATCAAATTATGTTAGGTGTATATGTAGGTTCATATGTACCCGTGGAGGCCTCTTTGTCCACGGATCACTCACATGTCTGATTAAGTGGTTAGGTGCCGCCTCCGTACTGCTCCGTGCCACGGAGCCGCACATGAGCATCATAGATCGAAAATGCTGTTCGTTGGCAAAATTGGCGCAAAGGAAGTAGGGGAATTCGCGTGCGTGAAATTGCCCACTAATTGCTAAACGTTGGATCAAGTGACCGGTTTTAGGACAGAGTGCTGAAGTAATTAATGTTCGTGTCAGAGGGATGTCAGTTTGTTTCTGTGGGTGTGTTAATGATCATTGTATAGAATATAGTAATGTTGTCAGCTCCTTGCTTGCGAATTTTAAGAATCAGGCTATATTACGTTGAAATTATTGTGAATGTATTATGTACCAAGGTTTGATTCACTATATGGAAGTTTGTATTGTGTGCGTTAAAGAGTCGTCGGATTGTGAGTCAGGACTGCCTTTCAGCTCAGTTCCTAATTGCACAGGTTTGAGTGTGTCGGAAAATATATTCTGTGTAACTGGCAGAGGTCATATCGCTCTTAAGACCCAAGAAATAGCGACAGTATAAAATACATTTATTTTCATATATTGTTAATTTTTCAGCATTGCTCTGCATTAATGTTGTAACAAAATCCTTGCACACAGAATTTACGCATTTCATGTAAAATTTGTTTCAAACTTGCATACCACTTCTAGAATAAATTGTACAAGAAGCTAGAAAAACTTTGATGACTGTGTTGGTTTTGGAGTACAGCACAGTGTGTTCTGTGTTTCAAATAATGAACCACCTTTGTGGAATTGTATTTGTTCAGCTGTTAAGGAAATTAATTGTTTACACCTGAATGTTAATTAACATCAACACGATGGCCTGCCAGGCTCAAGGATAGCTCAATATATTGAATAGGCGCTGGTCTGGATGACAAGGGAGAAGGGTTAAGTTCCTTGTAAGAGCAGAGCTTTTTCTCTTTGCAGCTTCCAGAACAGCTGTGAGGCCCAGTTGGCCTCCTACACAGGTCGTTGATACTAGAGGCTATTTTCCCTGGGAGCAACAGAGCAAGGGCAAGAAATTGAACACCATCTAGTGCTGAGTGCCCATATACCTTCATGGTGTTGTGTTCAATTGTGTAGGAACAGCTCATCTGCTTTACCTTTCCTTAAATGCTTTCCATTAACACCTACACTAAGCGAGATGAATCCAATTCTCATAATCTCTTTCCTTCAGATCAGTTAGGACGCTGAAGATTTCTGTCATTTGGGGCATATTGTTGTACAGTCTATTGAAATTTAATAGTTTTGGAGAACCATATTGCCTCCATCTTTAGGGTCAAACAATAAATCAGGCAAGAAACCAGCATGAAGCAGGTGGCGAGTAGCTCTTATTTGACCGTGAAGATGGAAGTGTGACACATTCCTCTGAATCATCAGTTGGATTTCACTAAATTACACAACACTATATCGTAGATGATAGAAGTCTTCATAACCACCACCTCATAACCATAACCTCAAATCCTACATACATGTTGTTACACTGTCTGCAAGAAATCTGAGAAGGCCAAGACTCAGGATATGCTTTAAGTTTCTGAGCTGCTGTATATGTGTATTTGATATATATTTCTTATTTTGCCCATGCACATATTCAGCCTTTTCAGAATATTTCCCTGAACATCTAGGGTTGAAGAATGAAAGCACCAGAGTCCCTTGTTTCGTAATGTATACCCATGCATTATTGGTTATGTCTCCTAGTTTCACATTTTTTGTTTCAGATATTTTCACTTTCTGTTATTTTCTTAATGTGAGTATATATTTGCTTAAATGATATTTAAAGTTAGTAACTATGGAAGTTTTCAGTCAAATTCAGAAGTCCCTAAAGTGAACAGTAAGGCAAAGATGTGATGTTCGCAGAGAAGGTGCAAATCTTATAGTGTCCCAGAGAGGTGTACAGTAATGTTGTATTTTAGCGTTCTGTTGCACTGATTTCATCCATGATATGTGCACCACAAGACGGCCACTGTATACATATCATGGAGGTGTACAGTACTGCTGAAATTAGATTGCTCACTTACCTCCATCTAGTGCAGAGGTTAAGGGTGGTGGAGGTATACCTCCTTTTCTTCATACATCTTCATGGTGTGGTGCTTAATCATTTAAGCACAAGGGACTGCCTTTAATGTGCTGCCAGTGGGAACTGAAAGTCTATCCACTGACGGGAGACAATTTTAATTGTTTAGAATTCCATGTATCCCAAATCATCTCCACAGTTGATGAATTTTGTAAACCATACATACCAACTGCCTGTTAATTATGCGTGGAACTCTAGTACGCAGCGTGGAATATCTGTAAGGAAGTTCTTATTTGTGTACAACGATGGATCCGTGGAAGACACACAGACTGTCTGTATTTGTATATAGTGGACTCAAGGTGATGTAAATGAGATGAAACTAAATTGAACTGACCTGAGCCAACACAGTCTGTCATGCAGTTCAGATTTACTAGAAGCATTCCTTAGATATATAAGAATATCTGTTTGAACTGTGCTAGTACCGGTACATGTCACAACATTATAACATGAGTAAGTGGTCACCATGTTGTAGAGGGGTACAGGAGAGTGTGTGGCTTATCATGTCCTTCCCAGTTTGCCATTCTCAGGTAGGCCACACACTAGCATGCGTCAAGACATAATGTCTGCGACATGATGCAAAGAAATGAGCACAGTTGAAATGAATGAGATTATGAAAACCGCCACATAATCTCATTTGTTTCAACTGTGCTCATTTCTTTGCATCATGTCGCAGACATCGTGTCTTGACTGTTACATGTCTTGACTCATGCCGGTGTGCGGCCCACCTTAGTGACTGTCAAATTCTACCATTTCTCCATACTCACCCCCCCCCCAGATGTGTGATGGCCTTGACCAGGCAGCATACTGTCACATTCTTTGCACTGGAGGCTTCATCTCTGAGCTGGCACTACTTGGCTGGTCACAGACTGAAGAAGTTAGTCTTTATTTCACTTGATGTTTCATAAACTGTGAGGTCAGGAAGTGAATAATTCAGAGTTATGTGAAGAGGGTAGAGATGACAGTAGGACCAGGGCTAGGCACCAACCGTGGAACTGTACAGGAAGGTACAGGCTCTAGCCTCTTTGCCCCAGGGAAGGTGGTGACCTTGTATGTGAACTGGTCATCCGGTCCTTTACTGATTGAGCTATTCTGCCACAAATGAATGCTATAGCCAGTAGTTGGGCAGTGTTCCATGGTGGTTACTCGTATGAGTACTGACCGGGCCCAGTGATCAGATGAGAATCCTCATTTTAAATTGGTATGGTTGCTGCCAACTTGGAGCCATGACTGCAACTGTGTGTTCTTGCAGGTTTCTGTAAACACTGAAGCAGTATGAGTGGAAATGGGAGCTCAGATGAGACAGAAGAAGCCATTAGTCAGCACCTACAAGGTCAGTACATTATGAGAAGGCATTCACAGGTATCTGTGTGTAAGGGTGGGCCATAGTAATTTTGCCCTTGCACTGCAACCATCACTGATATATTTGATTAACCCTTTATTAATCCTACACTTCAGATGAAATGTAAGGCCGTATTTATGGGGGCATCATAATAGCCATTTGGTTCCAAGAAGAACCGGTGCAGGTGACAAAATCTGAAGTAAGCTATGGCCTCACAATCACATAGGATATGTGTGGCTGATTCAAACTCTTCTAGGTACCTTTCCGAAGTGGGATCATCTGTCAACCCCAGTTTGAAAAGGTGTCCTTTAAGGTGACAGTGTCCTGTAAATAATCCTATCACCCATCTTAATTGGTCTCAGTTTAGCTTCAACAGATCTTTTGTTCTTCTGGCAGAGGGCCCTGGTATAAATCCCTTTGCCTCTTTTGAGTCCAATTATGGTTTCCCTGTTTGTGATGTGACAGATTTTGCAGGGTCTTGTAGAAAATGATCAGCATTTCAGAGGAAGCTGCTGTTTCCATTTCTGCGGACTCTTCCCTGAAGTCCGAAGCAGCAAATTCCTCTAAAATATTCATAGCTATCTACCAAGCTTCATGGTGTCACATCCCAGAAGGCAGTAATCTTTATGTTGTTAATTTCTTTGGCATTTTTATGTGTAGTATGGGCTGCTTTGGTATCTTCAGTGCTTTTAATTACTTTGTTATAGTTAAAACTAATTAAAATGCAAATATGTAATTATACTTTTAGAACTATTTTACAAAATTGAGCCATTTGTAAGCGTCCTTCCATGCTACACACAAAATATTGGTAGAAACAATGATCCTTTTCGACTGGATTTTTTGTTACAAGCTCAGGATGTAAGGTGGCATGCTTATTGTTCTAATTTATTGTTTTCCTTACAAAACTTTTGTTTCTTACTGTCCATTTAATTTTATGATTATTTAGTAAGTGAATTTGTTACGTAGTTAGTTGATTATATGTACAGTGAAACGAATGTCAGGTTTCTTGGGGGAACACTGAACTGAGGAAAGAAAACCTTGAGTGGAGGAATCATAACAACAGGATCACTGCAACTGAATGAACACTAAGAGAAAACCTAAAATTGAGGAACAATGAATGGGAATTGCACTGTATCAATATCGTATCCAGTGCTGAGTGGAAAACAGAACAGAGGGAGTTGAAAATTAAATTCCTAGCCAAGAATTTGAAATTCAAAATTTCTTAATAATACTGGAAGAAGAATGGCCATAATGCTGATGATAATGGTAAAAAGAGTAGGTAGAACAGTTATATTGAGAAAGGTATTACATTTTAAGGGAGAGAGAGAGACATAGGATGACCCAGAATTAGATGGTTCAGCCAGGTGCTTGAAGACTTCAAAAAGAGGGGAAAGAATTGACTAGAAATTGAAAAGAAAAGGCTATTTGGGAAAAAAAATTATCCTGTGACCAAAATAAAACATAAATTATGCTAGAATGAAAGAAGACATCCTCATGTTAATGGTATCTCATTGCTTAATGATAAAATGTTGTAATGTGGTAGCTTGGGGTTTCATGATAAGTTGTATTCTTCTGTTGTCCAGTTATACATAGTGAAGTATCATTAAGTTATACTTAGAGCCACATATATCAATTTTTGTGAAAATGTGTTGGAGTATGTTCATGGGGAGAGAGAGAGAGAGTGAGACAGACAGACAATTGACACTTGCTTACTCATGTCTGATGTCAGTTGCAGAATCTGTAACCATGGTAACATGTAAACAGTTGTGTTAATGTTGCTTTCAGATCTGGGAATGCTAGAAGATGGAATGACCACAGATGATAAACGTAACCTTTGGGCTGTCATCAAGATATCTCAGGACACTGCAAAGGCTGAGGAACAGAATCGCCAGAAGCAGGCAAGGAAGGCCTTGCAGTTTGATCAGGTGACTATTCATCTCAGCACATAGACTTTTTAGTGACTGCATTTTGTTTCAGTGCTGGTGCAGTGTGTGTCATTGATTCTAACTTTGATAGAAGTGTAATGTAAGAAATGGTGCCATAATACAAACTAAAGGTAAAGTTCCCCCATGGTAATTAATAACCATGCCATGGGGACATGTGGAAGAGTGGAGGTGTAGTTCCATGCACCTTAATCTTGGCACTATGAATTTGTTCATATTTAATATGACAGATGTGTACTGTAGCTGATGCATGTAATCATGGTCTGTAAATTTTACATTTTCATCTGTTTCTTGCCCGCTCTGTTTTGAGTTTCATTTTACAGGACGTTCAATCAAGGAAACCTTGCAACACCGCTGACCGGGCCCAACATTCCTCACAGATTGTTGCTGTAACTGCCGATAACAGAATGAGTCATTAGCACTGATGAACTTGCACACTCTCGCTAGTGTAGAGTGGATGGAATGTTTCTCCGCGACTATTTCCCTCACATCAGTTTCTGTACATGCCCACAATATAACAATACTGTGAAAAGATAACACAAACTTACCTTGCTTTATAACAGGTGCTGAAAGTGACCCCCTTCTGCTTGCAAACATCCAAAAATAAATTATGCGACACTTTCTGAAGTTGTTCCATGGTAATTGAACTAATTACGCATGTTATTTCATTCTGCAGAGCTTCAGTGCTGCGAGGATTATTCTTGTAGACTTTTCCCTTTAGGTTTCCCCCCAGAGATGAAAATCGGAAACACTGAGATCTGGGAGGCGACAGTCCCCTGCTGATTTCTCTGTCTTCAAACACTTCCCATATTGCAACCATGGATGCATTAGCCATATTTGCTGTAGCATTGTCTTGCAGGAAATACCCATATTGTCTTTCTTTAGAAGTCATCTGTTTGAAGAACGGATTCAGTATATCATTAACATAGTGGTCAGAGTTCAAGGTTTCGTGGAAAAATAAGGGGCGAATGATTTGCCGCAGATTTACAGCGCACCATACCCCCACCTTTTCACTGTGTAATGATAATTGCTGTATAGTGTGAGGATTTTCATCGCTCCGTATTCTTACATTTTGTGCATTCACATGACCACTAACGTGAAACCACGCCTCATCAGTCATAAACAGAAGCTGTGGATCCATGATTCCATCGTGCACATTTTGTAACAGCCAGTTGCAAAAACGAATTCTTGCTGCATAATCTGGATGTTTCAGCTCATGCACAACTTTTATTTTATACTTGCAAAATTTGATTAATTTTGTGGCTGTGAAAGCATATCCTAGAGAGAAAACGTTTCCTGTGCTAAGCATCTTAACGATTTTCGAGAACTGATCTGTAGTCATGCCACAATATCCCAAACTTTTTCTTCAGTTAGCACAATCCTCTTCGATTGCTTCTTTATGTCACACACTGAACCTGTGGCCCACCACTTTTTCACAAACTTGGATACACATGACTTTGTGGGAACTGGTGAATTAGGATATTTACAGCGAAACTTACGGATACATTTTCTGTAAGATTTTTTCCTTGCAAAAGTTTCAACAATAAATACACGCTGTCAATAGTGAACTTCATTTCAGCATAAATGTCGACCGCCTATTGACATCTTTAACACAGACTGACTATTATGTGACTTAACTGCAGCAACAAGATCACGCCACCTGACAGCGCACGTTTATCAGCGCAAATGACTCATTCTGCTATTAGCAGTTACAACAGCAATCTCTGAGGAATGTTGGGTCTGGTTAGCGGTATTGCGAAGTTTCCTCCTTGACTGAACGCAGTGTAGTAACTAATAAGAAATGGTTACAAGTAGGTTTGTATGTATAAATAATAAGGTTATGCTGCTGGTTTCAGGTGTCTTCAAGGTCTGAATCATCATCTGGCTTAGAGGCAAAGTCTGATAGTCTTATTGAAGAAATAATTTCTCCTTCTGACCATAAAGAAGACAACGAACCAGAAGACAAGAAGAGACCTACAGTTGCAGCTGTGTTACCACAGCAGCGTGCCACACCACTGGTTTCTGTGGCACCTTGCAATTGCACAACAGCCACCGTTTCTCCTCTGTGTTGTTGCCATGAAGATGACTTGTCTCAAGATCAGAATACTGTGACTATAAGTTTGTCATCAGTTTCATCATGTTCCAAGTCTCCGGCAGTTGTTTCCAAGAGTGAGCAAGTTGATTCTTCAACCCAAGATTCTCAGGATTTGCCAAGATGTGTTGCGGAACCATCAGCCAGGAGGGGCTTGAGGCCAAGGCCAAATGTAGGAATGAAGAAGACCACAAAACTGAATCCGACAAATAATTTGTCTGGCTTAAACTCACAGAGTTTGTCTTTGTCAGGGCCATCTAACAAAGAGAGAGACGAACCTCAGACAGTATCAGGAGGGTCGCTGAAATCGGAAGAGTGTTTTAAGAATAGTGCTATGACAAGTAGTGGCACTTGTACAGTTACTGGGCCTTCAAGTTCATCATCTTCACCCATTCCTGTTGTTGAGTCATCAGAACATTCTGATCAGGACATTCTTGAGTCATCTGTGCCTAACATACAAGAATCATCCCTAGTTAAGAAAGTGCAGAACAGTTTAACTGTGTCAAATTATCAAGAAAGAATTGGCGACAAGTCTGAAGCGAATGATGACTGCCATGAAGAGAGCAATTTTAGTGCCTTAAAAGAACGAACTGAGGAGATGGATGTGGAAAAATGTGCACGTGTTTCTAGCTCAGTTGATAATGTGCCTTCTCCATCAAGTGACTCACTTTCGAACATAACTCTGAACTGTAACAGTAACAGAGAAGTAGAAAGGAAAGGATCAGAGGACCGAGAAAGGAACATTAATCCCTTTAACTGTGACAGAAGCAATTACGAAAGGACTTTGAAAGTTCGCAAGGTGAAGAGGGCATGCTCAAGATTCCCGTTTTACATTCCTCCATACAAAATGGACATTCATACATACATCACATATTTCAAAAGAAGCCTTAACGAACAAGCAGCACGTCTTATTGAGGTGAGTTCCATGTTCATTGAATACTGCTTGTCCTTAGCTGTGTTGGTCTAGTGGATTCAGTGTAACATATGTTCTCACAGCAGTTACTGTAAGGATTGCCATGTTCTGGGATGTGATGCTGTGTAATGCAGCAGATCTTTATCAGTGTTTCAGAGGAACCTGCTGCCTTCATTTTCAGGGTAGATGAGTGAACTGTTCTCTACATTCTGAAGATGGAGGCAGCAGGTTCCTCTGAAACATTGGTAACAATCTGCCAGACAAAGCAGCATAATGACCCTGAAGACCTTCAAGTTTCCTCAGTTTTGTGCAAAAGTCTCTCTTTTTGGTGATTGAGTAGATTCAGTTAAAATTTTTCTGTCTTTATTTTGTGGTTTATATGTGTGTGCAGTACTTATATAAAATTATCAGTTAGTTTTAGCTGCAATTTGAGAATAGTTTGAACCGTCTCATATCTTGTAAGATTTAAAACTTTCCCGATGAATAAAGGCAGTAAAATCTTCTTTGGCAATCAGGTGCGTCAGAGCTGAGTCAAAGACCAATGTTTCAGAGACTAGAACTGTATCCATCTTCAGGTATGATTTGGGTAGTGCCTGTAAGTTTCTGATGCATGAGTCAGTGAATCAGTCAATATAATGCCTCTTCACTGTTGATGCATGAAGCAAAAGGAAGGCGGAATGAAATTCCTTCTGTATGTCAGATCTTGTACCCCATTGCCTAACCTGGTAAAAGTTAGTCCATCGCTACCATCGTTAGATGTGACCTCTTTGATGTTTTTAAGTTGTCCATGCAAAGAGAAACGGAAGAATATGAAGACGGAGTTCCACATTTGACTTGGCTTAGATGTCAGGATAGCGAAATACATCAAAATAATATTTAAAGTTCCTACCACACTGGAAACGCAATTTGTTTCCATTATAATTATCATTGTGTTAATGCTGTTCACTGTTTGTTGTGTGAGAACCCCACGAAACACGTAAACACACTGTGAGGACAGAGTGCAGTTTTCTGATGATAAAGCAGGTGGTACATGTAGTGACCACTTTACTTCAAAAGGATAAAGCTGCCTCCTCGTCATCTTCTCCTCCTCCTCCTCCTCCCTCTTCTTCTCTGCATCCTCCTCCTCCTTATTGTTATTATTCAGTCATTTTGTAGTGATGTGCATGTTTCTCTGTCTTCATGCTGTTTTCCAGGAACATGTTAAACACCTTGGAATTGTGCATAGCTCTGTGTGTCTGTCTGTGTGCAGTAGCCTCACATTGCGATGCTGAACTCAAGAAAACTGCTTTTCGCCTCATCTGTGATGACTGGAGCGGAAAAGTTTCAGAATCTGTTTGTTAGTATTCTGCCATAGTCCTCTTTTTATTTCTTTGCAGATGTATAAAGTTAAGTACAAACAGAAAACAACGTCTCGTATGCTCATTACACCATTTTGTATGTGCTGCAGTGGCATGGGCTTCCAGTGAGATGTTTGCTGGTTGTGGTTCTTGCTGACTGGTGAACTGAGGCAGCATTTGTTGTTCCTTGGAAATGGTGATTTCTCGGGGTAGAACTGGAAGCCATATTTGTCTGTAGCATCATGTTAATGTTCTGTAATGGTGACAGGTGCAGCGGAGAAATCCCAGATGTGTGGCATGGGGAGACCCAGTTGTAGCGGAGTCCAGTTCCAGAGTGCTGGTCACCCTGGGATGGGGAGAGGAGAAGGGTAAGAGCCTAGCCAATATCCAAAGGTGAGTTCTGCTTTCATGTTCCAAAAAGTAGTTTATGATGTATGCTGCACCCATTGTCTTCTTTTGCTCCAACTAGCTTACAGGCTGGAAGACTGAGAGGTCAGAGTTCTACTGCTGGTAGGATCAAGGATTGTTTCTTCTCCACGTTGTCCAGACCAGCTCAGGGGACAACCCAACCTCCTATCTAATGGATAGTGGGGGCTCTTTCCCCAGGGAGTAAAGCGGCCAGGGCGTGAAGCTGACCACTCACCTCCAGCAAGTGCCAAGGTCAAGAAAATGCGGGTCTATACAGCCACGTCCCAATATGCTTTCATGGCATAGCAGTTAATTAGTTAAGGACAGGGATAACTTTACGTTTTTTACTTCCTTCAGATAGCGTCACCATTTACTGCACGTAGTCATTCCATTGAGTTTAGTACCTTAGTAGCGGCCTTCCCGGAACTTTCCAAGTTCTTAAGATTAGGTTTTTTGTCAGAGCTTGTTTCTAACAGTTTTCTATTGACATTTCAGTGAGATAGATACATTTTACTTGAAACACTCTTGATAGGTTTTATGTTCAATGCAGTATGAAGAAAATGGAGAAATGCGATACTGTTGACTGGTTGCCTCAGCAATTGAATTTATGTGTCCGTGGTACTGCAGTATTTGTACCTATGATGGGTTGTGTCATCCATGTATATCTGCCTTAAATAAACCTTAAAGCTAATATAAAATGCAAAAACAACTTTATGTTAGAGTTAGTATTTCAGCTTTGTGTTCAGGAGGTCCCAGGTTTGATTCTCAGCACAGACGTTGGCTATTATAGGTGTTTCGTGCTATTCAGTAGACCCTTGAGGCAGATATTGGCATAGTTCTGGCTACAGCCAGTTCTATCCAAATCCTTTCAATTCATGTTCATTGCCAACTTTCCAGATGATGCCACAGATCTCTTCAACTGAAACAAGTAAGAAATAGTGGAATAAAGACCATGCTTAGAATTGGTGTTGTGTTTTGTGTGGCTTGCAGGAGGAACTTCCAGAACTGCGGAGCTTCCTACCTAAGGAAACACACTCTGTATGCTGAGCCTGATGTGCAGAGTGATGATGATTTGTTTTTCACTGATACCAGGAGAAGGAAGGTAATTGTGGAAAGCCAACAGGATGATACCGATGACTTGTTTGATGCCTTGCTTCAGGAGGACAAAGTGATGGACAAGCGAGATGATGAGGAGGGATCAGCACTGGATGATGGGAACAACTCTCACAAGTAAGTTTTTTTTATGCTAGTGGGTGGGACTAAGTCCCTTGTAATGCAGCCACTTCTGGCCTATTGTACCAGCCCCAGATGATAGGTGAGGGTGATTGTGGAGCAATTGGTGAACTGAAGATTGGCAGGGGAACCAAAGTACTCAGGGGGAAAACCTGCCCCAGCGCCACTTTGTCCGCCACAAATCCCGCTTGACCAGACCTGGGATCGAACCCGGGCTGCTGTGGTGGGAAGCCAGTGACTAACCGCTTGAGCTATGGCATGGCCCCATCACAAGTAAGTTAATCTGTTTCCTGGAGTTGAACGTGAAACTGGGGACACTTTGGGTAGAGGAACATGGTATGGATGTAATGTGGCTAGGTGCATCTGAACTGATGACTCAGTAAGGAAAAACTTGGGATCAAGAAGTTTGCACATGATCATCATGGCCAGTACACTGTCTGCCAAATTCGGGCAAATATTTTTTGTGTTATTTGCGGTAAGCATGTTATATCGCCGATGGTCACATTCATGGCTGTTACGAGGCTCTCATTGAAAATTGAAGGCACTTGAACAGAGTTGCTGATTAAGTAAAACAAATTTATTAGGTTATGGCATCAGCTACATAGCAATTTTATTTTATTACTATTCTGTGTCAGTTGCTGTTCAAAATTATCTCCAGAGTTGGCTACACACAGCCTTAATTTTTTTCTTATTTATTTATTTTCTCCCGCATCTCCCCCCAAATTCTGTCAGGATTGTTGTTCTGTACGCAAGCAGCAGCATCCAGAGGGTCATCTCATCTTCATGATTTCTCTTGCTAACTTAAGTAATTTGTTTTGATGAATGTCATTGTGTTGATGATGAAGACCTGCAAGGCTGGTGTCCCCATACACCAGACCTCATGCCCCATGACTTTTTCTTCTGGAGATTCATGACACAGTTAATGGCACACACCTTAGAAGTTTTATTTACAAGTGTAAGGGCAGTGATATACTGGTAGATTGCTCTATTCCTTAGTTCCCCTGCGGTGAACAGGCAGGGTCCGGTGAAACGCAAGTCAGATTCAAGTGATGACCAAATATTTGATGAGGATGAGAGGAGTGGTGAGCCGCAGCAGAAGCGAGTGGCCCCAAGTCCTTGGATTACAGCAAAGAAAGAGGAAGCACCTCCCATGGCAGTCAAGAGAAAAAAGCCTCATCAAGGTGAATGTTCTGCCCTTTTCAGCAGAATCTGTCATTTAACACGTTTTTATTTTAAACCTGATTACAAAAAAATTGTTTAGCACTTGGTATCTTTTGTGTGGGGGCACGTAGTAGTGTATTTGGTTGAGGCATTATGCTACAAACCGGAAGGTTGCAGGTTCAAGTCGTGATGAGGTCCTTGGATTTTTTTCAATTGACCTAATCCTTCCAGCCGCACTATGGCCCTGGGGTCTCACTCAACCTCTAACAGAAATGAGTACCAGGAATACTCTTGGAATATTCTTGGGGGTAAAGGGCGGCCGGCATGTAGGGCTGACAGCCTTGCCACCATCTGTGAGCCGATTGTCTAGAAAATGTGGGAACCTCAACATCTCACAACCTTATGGGCCTCCGCGGCCTGTTACAGGGATACTTTTACTTTTACGTTTGTGTTTTGTGTAACTATGACTTTCAGAATTTATCCACATGGTATGTTTAGGCTGTTCCAATGTTTTGGCATACATCACAGTCGCCATCTTCAAGATGGTTGTGTTGTACACTGAAACATTAGAACAGTCAGAACCAAACCCTTGTCTTCTGTTTAATGGGCAGTCCTCCCTTTCCAGAGTGCTCACTTCTGTCCTGAAGATGGGGGAAGCATGTACCTTTGAAAGACTGGAAACGTTCTTTGCTATTACATGTTGTCATAACCCAAAAATTACACAGAGTTTGTAGTTTAGTGATGTCTGGTTTGCAGTAATGTCTAGTTTTGCATGCAGTTTTGTCTGATGCTGACTCTGCAGCACATAGTTGTGGGGATTTAGACGGAGAATTTGAACCTTCAGAGAAACAGTTGCAACGGCGTGGCCATGTCAAGTCATGCATGATGAAGAAAACTGCGAAAAATGTATCATCAAACCAGAGCCAATCCATAAGAAAAGGTGAGGTGTTTTTTTGTGCTTTACATTAAAATCTGGGTACCATTTCAGTATAGGCCTACTCCCCAAACCTAGTGCAGTGCAAGAAACTTTCGAAAGACTGCCGTATCTAATTCACATCACCAAGCAATTGTCTGCAGTAGTCCTTTGTAGATATGGGCCCAGCAGATAATTAACAAGTCTTCCCTTGCAGCTTGAATGTCTTGTCAGATATATGTATTTGGAAATGTATTCACAGACATCTTTGGAAATATTGATTTTTGCTTAGTTTTCTAATATATGTTAAATTATTTTTTTTTTGTCAGTACTGTATCATGTGAGAGAGCTATCAACATTAACTTCACACATAAGAATAGCTGCTGAAACCTGCCCAAGTTTGGATATCTCTAACCTCATGCAATTTACTTAGGGAAGTTACATCTGAATTTTCTGTCTGGGTGTGAATATGTAAATATTTTTCATGCTTCATGAGTGTTGCATGTGTTACGCTGCTTTATCTTGTTTTATTTGTTTGCCTGCTGCTACTACTACCACTACTACTACTGCTGCTGCTGCTGCTGCTAATACTAATACTAATACTACTACTGCTGCTGCTAATACTACTACTACTGCCCCCATGTTCAGGGTCCATCTTGAGACAATGATAATTGCTTAGCTTGTTGAGGAATTGCCTGCTTTTTAAGGTGCTGTAGGTTCAATAGCATGTTCAAAAAACCCTGCCATTGAACATATCTAGAACTGATATACCGGAACAAGCCACATGCAAGATTGCTCTCTAGTGCGATGTGGCATTGTGACAAGCTCATGCACTGACCTGCCAAGCTCTGTATCCCAGAGGATTGTGATCTTGTTGCTGCCATGAAAGTCTCAGATCTCACAAGCCTTACACATGTTACCAAAGAGTCTTCGCTTTTTAATTTAATTTAATTTAATTTTTCTTATATTCAAGTAGATCCAATTACAGGGCGAGAAACAAGTTCACACACCACTGGATATAGAATGCGTCAAAAATCAAAACAAATGTTCCAACCAATCACTGGAACAAGTCAAAGAACAATATAAAATATAGACAGCACACTCACTAAACATAATAAAATGTGACTGTAACAATACTTAAATACTAGATGAAAACATATTAACCATTTATCTTATAAAATTCATTGAGTTTGTAAAAACAGTGCATATGAATGGATATTATCAATAAACAGTGCAATATCAAATAATGTATGTCACATCATGTGTCATATGTGACGATGTGGCGGCCTCTTGCATGGCAGTTTATACAGGAACACCCCTGTGATGGGAAGATAGTGAAGATGATGAACATGATGACAGATGTGAAGTCCTCGCAGCAGTTGGCTACGAAGAGTTCTTTTTTTTTTTGCGATATAAAGCTGTGTGATCTGGTGGAAGTCAGCTGACATCTCGGTAGACTGAATCACCTCCATCTTTGGAGTCTAAGAGTAAGCCAAGAAAGAATTCAGCATGAAAAGGCAGCAAGCTTTGGTTACCCTTCATCCCTGAAGATGGAGGCAGTATGTTCCTCTGAAAAGTTTGTTGGCTTTTGCTCGACTGCATGATGCTGTATCCCAGGAGATAGAATTCTTCGATGATGATGGTGGTGGTGGCGGCGACGGCGGCGGTGGCATATATCACTGTCACAAAGTTTGGGCTTTCTCTGAGCAGAGGGAAGGGAAGATCTTGCAGAGAAATCAGCACTGGATCCAGTTGGTCTGTGATAACAGCCTTTTTAACGCTGAGGTTTCTGTTTCTAGGTGGAGGTATGGATGGTGAGGCTGACACATTTGTTGACCTTGACAATGCTGCAGGTGTTGCGGGTGACTCAAATTCATGCCCTGAGTCATGCCAAGAAACTGAAATAATTAGACCAGGTCCTGTGAAACTCCGGAGACGAGGTCGCCGACTCTTCCATCAGAACCAAGTGGAAACAGAGGAACATGAAGAAACTGAACATAATAAAGAGGCATGAATCTGTTTTGCATATCATTGGCTTTTTGTTTTGCTTAACATTGCTGTGTATGCTTTCCTACCCCTAAATCCTAAGTTGTGACCATGTAAACTGACCCTCTGCTGATTACATTAGCCGCACAGTCTAAGGCATGAACTGTCTTCATTCTCTTGAATTCTGGGATCATGGGTTCGAATCCCACTAAAGGCATGGATGTCTGTGTGTGTGTGTTGGTAGCAGTTTTGTGACAGACTCATCACTCATCCAATGAGTCCCATCATCTGTGTAAAAATGATTACAAAACTGAAGAAGACGCCAGGGCCCAACAAAGGGCTATAGAGCCATTGAGGAATGAATGAAAATTGACCTTAAAGCTGCCACGGTTGATTGCTTTTTCTAATTTGATGTCTAGAGGAAACTGTTTGCCAGAAGTAGCATATCATAATTTCACATTCCAAACAGTAAAGTCATCAGAACTGCCTGCCCCAAAAACAGAGGCAGCTGATCCTTCCAGAATGTTGGTACACATTTTCTAAACTGTGTGATGTCATATCCCAGAAGTCAGTCTCTATTGTAGCTGTTGCTGTGGAAACCTCAAACCTGATATCCTTACTATCCCAAACGGGGAAGCACTGACCATGTCCGGTGCTAGAGAGAGATACAGTGTTGCATCATTTCAGAACGCTGGTGCCCGAATGGATGATGTCACAGGGTCATATGAGGTGGGGAGCAGTGATGTTCTGGAGCAGGAAGCAGATGTTGTTCCATGTCCTATTTGTAGGAAAACGTTTCTAGTCAAAGATATTGAGGTAACAGCTTGATGCACTTGTGTGTCCTGTAACCCTTTTGCGTTACTTGATTTGTCAAGCTATCAGCTTTCTACTGGTTTCAGGTTTTGTCTGCATGTTAACCTAAGTTGATTTTCATGTTTCTGTGGCAGGCACATGCATCAGAATGCAATGAATACTGTGAAGAGGAGGTTCCACCCGATGAGCTGCGTATATTTGAGTCGAGCAGCGGCTCTGAGATGGCCACGCAGAGCTCGCAGTAAGTACAGGAAGGGTGGCGATCGTGCCATGTGAACTAAACCCATAGTGCAAGCATGAATCTCATGAATTGTCTTCTGTTATTGATACCAGATTTGAAGGGTATCTTGCATCTTCTGGGAAAGACAGGGAGTACTGTCTGGCTGAGTCCTGAAAGGGGATATTGAAGTACAAAGGTACCATGACATGGCCGCAGAGCTTCATGTTCATTGCCCCGAGATAAAGCATGAGTCATTCCCAAACATTATGTTGAAACAAAGTGGTCAGCTATGCAGCATTTAATGTAACTTACAACACCATATTGGAATATAAGTCAAATATTAAGGGAACTTATGCACCAGATGTTTTAAGGTAGAAGGTTTTACACACATGAATTGTGAAGTTTTCTCTTAATAAAGTGTACCCCCTGATGATGGTCTTGTAAGGCTGAAACATGTTGGAATCTCAGTAACACACAAACTTCTTGGGCAGTAACTTGCATATGATTTTATTACAAGAATTTTTATTCATTTGGTTTGCCTGTGCTGTTGGCCCTGACTGTTGTGTGCACTTGTTGAATGACCCTCCTTTGTCCCTTTAACATTGCTCACATCTGTGGTTCAAGCCATTCACACTTTTCGCAAGGTAGGCTGGTGTTGAGGTAACTTGTGTTCCAGAGGTGCTCTGTTTGGATTTTGGCTTGGTCACTGGCTAGCCAGACTGAGGTTTTTCATGGTTTCCCTCAGTCCCTCCAGGATAGTGCTATGAATAGATCACACATGCTTCCTTTTAAGTTCTTTCTAGTTTATCATTCACCAGTCATTGTACAATCTGGCACCTTCTAGTCTAGACACTGACAGTGTTGTAAAATAAACTACAAAAAGATACATATGATTTCTTTCTCGTTGATGATGTAATGCATTTAGTTTTCATCTATTTACAGGGGTGCCATAACTGAGAAGTGCTGGAGTGAGTTTGAGAATAAAAAAGAGTTTGAAGGTGATCATATCACCATATTTCGTACAAGACAGCCTAGACCCCAAGCACATCAAGGTACTGCGGCCTCCAAACATACCCCAGCCTCACCTTCCAATACATTGTAAGGTATATCACTTTGTTGTAGCTTGGGCCATGGCTCATGTTGTTCTCAGTTCTTTGCCTGTAATTACTGCCAGTGACCATCCATAAGTCTTTTTAGTCTAAATTATATAAATGAATGAGTTGGCACAGTGGTGACCGTGATTTGCAATTCTGAAGCTCCTAGTTAACTTCTCATCCTATTCCAAAGTCTTTCATAGTTTTCCTTGGGCCTTCTAGTCATTTTCATGCAGGTGTAACAAATGTGTGTACAGGAGGCACTATTCCTGTGTCTTTCCGGTCTTTTCTCATTAGAAGGAATTTTCCGTAACGTTATTCGCTGGAAAAGATTAGTCAGTATAATGACTGATGACAGGCTGATTGACCAGAGTATGATTTTTTTTTCTCTTCTTCATGTCCAGAAATCTCTGGGATTTAATTGATCTCATGTGCACTGGGTACCAGAGACTTTTTCTTGGGTTGAAGCTGGTTGAAATACAAACTGCTCATTCACCTTCATCAAGTGCTGAGGTCAGAAATGCGTGGCGTGATACCTCAGTTCTCCAAACTGTGTGTAATCAGTCTCCATAGAGCATTGTTTGTCATGCTGGTCTGTTATGTGTCATTTCCATGGAAACCAAATTCACTTTAGACTAAGACTTAAAGAAGGCCATATTCATTATTATAAAATTTCAGTATGCAGAGCCTATTTGGAAATTATCTGGACAGTGCAGTACTCATTTAAAAAATAGTTGGGGTGGGCAGTACTGATCTGAAGTACATATATTTGGATGACATTGAGTGTTCAGTATTCATTTGAAAAGTATTTGGACTTTGTGTTGCTACTTAACTGCTAGATTAAGGCCGCGCCATAGCTCAAGTGGTTAGTCGATGGCTTCCCACCGCGGCAGCCCGGTGGTCTGGTCAAGTGGGATTTGTGGTAGACAGAGTGGCGCTGGAGCAGTTTTTCTCCGAGGTCTTCGGTTTCCCCTGCCAATCTTCATTCCACCAATTGATCCACAATCACCCTCACCTATCATCTGGGGCTGGTACGATAGGCCAGAAGTGGCCGCAGTACAAGAGACTTAGTCCCACCCCACTAGCAATAAAAAAATAATTAATAACTGCTAGATTAACTTCATGGGTATAATAACTAACAGTGGTGAAGGGCCGTGCATGTGTAGATCAGTCAGTAGTAGTGTTGTTTAACAAAGAAGGTCTTCATACAGAATTTAGAGAAAGGTCTCACCACATACTATGTATTCATTCATTCATTCATCAGTAATCTGTCAGATGGCAGGTCCACAGTCTCTTCCAAAACAGTTCCTCCACTCAATGCAATCTCAACTTCCTCCTTCAAATAAAAATATCCTTTTCTATTCCCAAAGTCATCCAGCATCTTCTTACGTCTTCTTCCTTGTCTTCTAGTCACTTCTATCCGCCCCTCCGGTTTAATCTCGCATACATGGTATCTCTGTTTTTGGAAAGAGACTATCCAGGAAAAGTGATAATGTGGTAGTTTTTCCATTTGCTTTCCACATCGCAGTACAACAGCTGTTCAAACCACTCTGGTCACACCTGGTGCTATACGAACTTGAACCATCTCGAGCATCATTTGCTCTGTGCTTGAAGTCGCTGCTGATGACGCTGCTTCTGGCTATGTATATAATACACAAAATCAGGGTTTGACTGTAGTATGGTTTAGATTTAAGTGAATGTTGTAACATTTCCATTGATTTCAGTTGAATTGCCACGGGTATGCCTGTCTCCAATACGTTGCTTCACTCCTATAAGTGCACAGTGTGACTCTGACATAGACTACCATCATCAGTTTCGCGTTGCAGCCACCATTAGGCAAAACCCAACTCAAAATCCAAAAAGGAAAAGGAGAACAAAATGGAAGAAGAAAACAAAAATAAAGGCTGGTAAGAGGAGGAAGGTTGGATAATCATGTTGTAAGCAGGAGAGGTCAACTGTGCTAAGACATTTGAGGAATTCTGGGGACTGATTTTCGTTTTCATATATTTTATACTGCAATGCTGATAACAGTACATACTTAGCTGGTGTCAGACATAATAAAATGTAAATTTGTCTGTGTTTTATGCATGTATATCATTTTGTTGGTCTGGATTTTGTATTTAACAAACGGAATTTAAATATTTCTTTTATTGTGGCAGAGTATTTTTTTTCTTCAAATTTTAATATTTCTGCATTGTGACATACTACTTAATCCCATGGCATACTTACACACAAACTGGAAATTTTCAGTTGTCTCATGTTAGTCAAACACAGCATGATGGAAGCGGCGTACACATATACCATCATTTGGTAGTGTAAAGCCTATTCCATCAGGTCCCATAGATGGTACTGTGTCTGTCCCCCAACAACAGTAGTTCTGGTTAGGATGTCTAAACAGCAGGAACCTCAGTGTCATTGTTGTGAAATCATGCAGTTTGTTTTACAATTTTTAATAGCTCGATTCTAATTTTAATTGGTGCTGTTGATCTCCAACATCTACAGTTTATACAGGGTGTCCCAAGAGGAATGTGCCAGACTTCGGGAGGGTGTTCCTTATGTTAAAGTATGCCGATATAACCCAAAACACCTATGTCCAAAGTTGAATGGTTACGGAGATAATGGCCCGAGAAAAGTGTGGTCATTTGGCGGGTCCATGCACTGTACCTGTCAGCTGACAAGTCTTATCGATGTTTGTCCTTGAGTGTGGTGATGATGGCTCACACTAGCCGCATACACTCGCATACCAGAATGCGCAGTCAGCCATGTTATGTCAGTGCTTGCAATTCATGTGTCATGTATAGTGCTTGGAACCCTAACGACAACTATGACATGGCGTGCGAGTTTTTTTGTAGTTCAGTTTAATGGCTTCATGTCCCTTACAGTTTAGTTTGATGTTACACACATTATTAACATTACAGAAGCCACATATTCCTGCCAGTTTTAATATGTATTTGATGATCAACAAGTGTGTAACACCTGTCAAAGTTTCACAATTCTCTGGCCATTATCTCTGTAACTGTTCAACTTTGGACTTAGGTGTTTTGGGTCATATCAGCATACTTTAACATAAGGAACACCCTCCCGAAGTCTGGCACATTCCTCTTGGGACACTGTATATCGTGACTGGGTCTACTGTCGTCGTTGGGAAAGAGATTAGCTCCTTCTGACAGACTCACCAGTACACATTCCATACTTCTCACCTGATGATGGAAGCAGAATCAGCTTCTGAAACATTGTACTTGTTTAACCAAATGGGGTGGTGGATAATGTTCAAAATACAATCAGTTTAATAACACACCATCACAAACCTTTTTACTTAATCCTTTTCATGTCATTCAATTTTAAATTCAAAATGAAAGATGTCCTTGTGTTTGAACATAACGCTGTGAAGATATGGGAGCGAATGGAGGCGGCTTCATCCTTGAAGAAGGAACCACAAGAACAATTGAATAGGTTTTAAAAGTTTTGTAGATCAGCTATTTCAATTTCCATCCTGTCCTTTGATGTGGCTGTAAAAGAAACCAAATCTTAAAGAGACGGACATCCCATAGACGTCGAAGTATGTTTATGGGTTAAATTATTAAACTGCTGTCATCTGTTGAAAAGGTTTTAATATCTCTATAACAGCAAAATTTTCTGTTGGTTTTGTGAAGTTATTGTATGCTGTATAAAATCTAATATTAACAGGCTCATTCATAAGATGAAAGCCCCACAGATCTCAAAATATTGGTTCCAGATGTTAGAAATGTTATTAAAGGTAAAGTAACATGTAATTTGTTCTGTTTTGATCACTTTTGCTTTGTGTTATCGTTTAAGAAATCCAACTTTCATTAAAAAAATTCTTACATGATATAATGTCTCTCCCATGTGAAACATGTACACGTACAATGTATTTTATATAAACACATATAAATAAAGTATATTTATGTAATTTTGAAGTTACAAATGTAATGGAACGAGCATCCCAGGTTGTTCATTTGCTTGTAGTTTAGTTAACAGTATTGTATTACCTCAGGCTAAGTAGTGTCATAGTGAATTAATTAGAAAATACAGTAAACTCTCGCTAATTCAGTTACAGTTAATCCAGATCGAAATATGAAAAATGAAAAATTCAGTTCACAGTTGAGTACATATGTTAAAAGACACGTGGGATTTATGAGCAAGAGGACTTTCAGAATGTGCTGAGGGCAGCTGGAGAGACTGAAACTGCACAAGAAAATATCCAAGATTGGCTTCAGCTGGATGAAGGAGACTCTGGATTTTCTTTTTATAGTTTAAAAAAAAGGCTCTACAGTGATATTTTTTTTTATTTCTTCTCATTGGCACTACTTGTGTTATTACACTTTCACTTGTTTGTTTTCTAAGTCTTTTTTATCTTTTGGTGCTATCTTTTGCTTCATTAATCTGGATTGTCACGTACCCCAGACGACCCGTGCCCCCAGTTAATCCATAGTAGTGAGGGTTTATTGTTTTGGGAAAGAAACAACTGTCCTAATTTGAGAGATTATCCCAGCATTTGACTGAAGATACTGAGGAAAATATGAAAAATGTCAAGATAGCCAGTCTGCAGGCTGAGATCTGAACCCAGGACCTCAAAAATGTGAAACAGATTGCTAATAGTCAACTGTTATGTTCAGTTACATGTGCAAATTATGGGGTATTCGAATTGTGTTCTAATGTGGATGTTGCACAAAGATTGTAAAATGTTATTAACTGTCATGTTGTAGTCTGTCTATATGAATTAATACATTTAAAGGAAATAAAACAGTTTCTTCCAATGTCTTATATATGGTAGTGTATTCTTTGAAGTGGAGATGAGCTTTTCTATACTAGTTCAGGAAATGAAATCAGTCTTGTTAGCAGACTAAATAGGTGCTCCCCCTAAGAACTTATAAACACATTGGCCAAGAGCCATGAAATTGAGTAAGATTTGCCATTTGATGTCACCTTACTTTCCCAGCCCTTTCCATTTTATTCCCAACCTCATCCCTTCAAAAATTATGAAGATGGAAGTCTTGTGACAGAGACGAGGGAAGGTTTAAGTCCCTCCTTTCAGTATGTCTTGCATGCCAGTTATAGAAACTTGTAGTGCAAAATCAAATGTCATTCTGCTGCCATGGAAAATATTTGTTAGGCATTACATTATTCTCATGTAAAGCTTGAAGCCTTCATCTGACTAAAAGTGGTAAAATCATTTTGCATGATCAGCTGATGATAGACAGTCATGGGCACCAAAATGTTGAACTTGTTAAAAGAATTGATGGGGCTGATCACCCACAAATATTCTGTTAAACTGTTACCACCTTTACAGAAAATATTTCATGGGTTATATGTATGAAGGGACAGACACCTATTTGATTCCCATCGTTGAAGGAGGCTACTGTGACCTTGAATGCCAGCTACTGCACGCATGCAGCCACATGGGTTTTCCTATGCTGTTAATCATAGTGGTAGGGGCCACGCCATAGCTCGAGCGTGGCGTCCCGGGTTTGATCCCGGGTCTGGTCAAGTGGGATTTGTGGTGGACAAAGTGGCGCTGGGGTAGGTTTTCTCCGAGTACTTTGGTTTCCCCTGCCAATCTTCATTCCACCAATTGCTCCACAATCACCCTCACCTATCATCTGGGGCTGGTACAATAGGCCAGAAGTGGCCACAGTACAAGGGGCTTAGTCCCACCCCACTAGCAATAAAAAAAATCATAGTGGTAACATTTTAGCCTAACCGTTTAAGTATGAAGTATTTTGTTCTACTTTTTGTATATATTTGTGTTCCTTTTATAGCCATGATGTGAAATGCATAAAACCTGGCCTTTACTATGTAAGATTTGAAAGCTAAGGAAATAACTGCCTTTTGGGATATGATACTGTTTAATCCGGTATATATTTACCAAAATTTTGGAGGAAACTGCTGTCTCCATCTTCAGAATAGAGGAAGAATAGGCCATGTGGGAAAACCTGTCACTGATGTAGGGATGGAAGGATAAGGTTTGCAGCCAATAACCTTTACCTTTTACCTCCATATTTACAAGTCCAGTCCTTTCAGTGTGACAAGTTCCCATTTGGTTGACACTGTTCCCATTGGTTTGCTGTTAACCTCAATCATCATCATCATTTCTTCTATTTATTTATTTTGTCTCTATAGATCATTGTTACATGATATAGGACAAGTCATTTACTGTACATACAGTATATACAATAGCTGTTGATAGGGAATAGCTCTGTAAATAATGTCCGTTGCTAGGTAATGGCCACAATACACAATAATAGAAGAGCTGTTGGAAGCAGTGTTCTCTGTATGGTCCTTGCTGAGGCTCTGTAATGAGCCAAGCTGTCATTAGAGTCTTGAGATGGTAGTGAGAACAGCAGGAGGGGTTGTGAGATGGCTGGGAATTATTCAGTTGGAGCAGTGAGTTAGTTGTGGGACAGTTGCCAGCCTGTAAGAATGTGAGCATGGAAGCAGGGAACATCGTTGAGATCCATCACTAGGGAATGAATGGTGAAGACACAGCAGGCTGAGAAGACTAGTGCGTGCTGTAGTGAACTGCAGAGTGTGTGAATTAGTGATAGCGCTATAGTTACTTGTAGCTAAGATCTGTAAGTGTTCAGTAAATCCAATTACCAATCCAAACCCCATCTGTAGTCACTCATACACGTGACAATATGTTATGTAGTGATAATGGATATGTACTCATTTGAGAATATTCAGAATTAATTTGTTAAGTCTTGGTTTTATGTATTATTTCCAGGGCTTGAGGTGGGGTGGGATGCTGCCAGATGGCATCCTGGTTCTTTTCTAAATGGCTTAAAAGCATCCCGTTACTTCTTTGGCAGTAAATACAATGTACAATACCTTCTTGGGGAAAACCATCCCGGTTCTATTTTCATTCCACCTCAAGCACTGATTATTTCCATAAAGTGAATCCATAGCAGGATAGTCCCATTTGTCTGTCCATCCATGGGTGTATTTATCTCCAAAATACACAATGGATTTTGGTATTGGCTCTCAACACTATGGGAAATAATGCAGATTCTTTCCACCTACTAACATGGTCAACATAAGAATGTGATAATCACACCACCAAAATTTCTGAGTATTAAAATGTTGTCTCCACTTTTGGGTGCACTTTTGTGATTCTCTCTATTGTATTGCCCTGTCTCCATGTACTTCCATAGGTTCTCCATACTTGCAGGCTTAAGATTTCAGTTACATTTAAGTTGCAGTTGATTCATTGACTTCAAACACAGTTTCCCAAAAAATGGTGGTGTGGTCGCAATACTTATCCAGTACCTGAGTGGTGTTGTGATACCAGTTTACACTGCTTTAGTTATAGTGGTTGTACAGCCACAGTTCATTCCTGTTTAAAGGATGTTATGTGGGCTATGCTATAGCTCAGGTAATTGAATGAATGAATAAAGGTGGGCTACACCGGCCCATACACTGCGACTCGACAATCTATTGTGTTCCCTCCATATTAGCCCCTCAACAATCCCACATTTCTAACGAATTTCAGTAAAGGTAAAGCTGTAAAAAGTGTGAAGCTGACGAGACCAAAACAACTTTGTTAGAAATAATTATTTATGGACTAGTTTCCGCAAAGAACAGAAGAAATTTGAAAGAAAAGAATTCTGGACATGTCCGTCGAAAATCAGCCGAAGTTTAGGAGGAACTTGCCTACTCCATTAAACAGAAAAGCATACAGAAATACTGGGTTTTTGGACTTCAGCCATCGACCGGTATTCCAGAAAATAGAAGACATGACGTTTCGGAAACTACGTTGTCGTCTTCGGGTGAGTAGGTATTTCC